TTTTTTTTATCTTAAACGTTAAACTTAAGTAAGTATTAATTTTATTTTTTTCAAAAATAAACAATAATCAAAACGTAACAATACAAACAATTACAACAAGTAAAAATTATTTAATAAAACAGTTTATATTTTGTGTTTATCTTCTGTTTTATATTAATAATTCAAAAAAACAGCTAAAAGTAGACATTGGATTATTTTTGCAATTTTACAAAATATTTCATAAAAACAGAATTGATTTTGTATATAACAATACATTATTTAGTGACATTTTACTTAGTTTCGACAGCAAAAGGCATCTTCAAACTATAATACGAGCTTTGCCGTCGCTCTACCTGTCTATTAAAACTTGACAACCACTTCACTGAATTGATTGGAATCTTGAAATCAATATATATTAGTTGATACATATTTTCCTAACTTTAAGAAATAGACAATGCAACTCTATGATATAGTCTTATTTAAATGGCATCATATACCTTGATCTAGATGAAGTAAATAAGTGAATATAAAAAAACATCCCAAATTATCAACAAGCTAGTTCTCAGGCTAGACTAGCATTTTCTATAAGAAACTAGGCAATGGGCATCGGTTCTTCGTTTCCTAAATTGTCCCAATCGAGAACCAAAGCTGAAATCTTATTCATTCAAATAGTTAGTGCGATATTTTTCGCGAACACAATATTATCATAATATTAAAAGAAAAGCCTTTTAAGTTTTAATTTCCAGTATTTACCAATTAATAAATTTAAATCCCAACAATAAATCGAATGGTGCCCTTCATGTCAATAAGCGACGGTCACTGCTTTTTATCCAGTAGGCCATTAGATTTTTTTGGCATTTAAATGAATATAAAAAAAAAAAAAATATTAATAATCGTCTGTTTATTCAATTACTCAGAACTTTGAGGTCTTGCTACAATTATAACAATTACTCTCGTTGCTTTAGTAGAAACTAGTTAAAAAGTAAGTTGGCAATATAACGTCTATTATGCACGTGACGCCTAGTTAAATGGACGAAGTTAAATTGAAGTCCCTTATCCGACCCTTAGGTACGCATGTCGGCTAATACGAGTATGGAACGTGTTTACTGCTGTTGTTTACTTGAATATGTAAGAGGTCTATCTGTATAACGTATGCCGACTTGTCTAAGAGACGGTGGAGATCAGTTAATATTATAAGGGTTTATGTTTATATTTCATAATTTATTAAAAGTTAAAAGTTTTTGTTAAAAGTTTCTACATTAAATTTTAAATTTAACCTATCTCTTATATTAATTTGTTCTGTTAAAGCTATTTAACATTTAAATTGGCATATATAATTCTTAATATTGGCAAAATTTAAGATCGTGGTAATTGGAGTTTTATAAGTTACACGTTTTAACTACAAATTTATATTTATTCATTCTAGGTAAAACTTTGCTTTACAATTAAAAAAAATTTAAAAATTAGTTTATTTAATACACCAACGTTTGTCGATAAACAATATTTTTCTTGATGATACATAGTCAGTATTTTTTTTTTGATGAGTGAAAATAGTATAGTAACCCCGCCTGCGCTAACGGGATACCACCAGTGAAGGGTGATAGATAAGAATGAAAACAGGCCAGTTAGCCCATCATGATAAATTCATCAGGAATTCAACATGATAGTTTCCAGGGGGAACCGCGAGGAGGTCGACCTGGTTGGGTGTATCTAGTAATAGGATTTTCAGTCTCCATTACTAACAATCCCTTTCCCCCCAAAACATAATCAGTATTTAAAATGCTTTTAAAAATATGTGACTTCATTTTAAATTGCTATTGAAATATTATATTTATATAATACCTTATTACATACTGGTCAACTTTGAAGCACAATTTATTCACAATAAGAACTGAATCCAATTAGGCATTATTTATATTGATACTCACGGAAACGCCTTAATAACACCGTCTTATTTATTGAAATTGCGTAATTACTAAAATAGATAATTCGTATACATCCGAAACTGTATTTTAGTTGTAATTGATGGGAAGACAGGGCAATTTCTGACACAAGAGTTAGCGTAATTCTCAGAAGTAACATCTGAGAATTGCTATATGGACATAGTATCTATATCTATATTATTCATGACGTTCATCATTAGTATTGTCAGCTTATTTACCATTACCAATGCAATCTCGGTATTTTTAAAATTCATATTTGGATCATTCAAAAATTATTCTCACTTGCTTCGTTTGTGGAAGGGTACAAAAAACCGTCATCTGGTAAACCACGTATAAGACTTCTGAGTACAATAAATGTAAACTAGAAACGCTTAATCGAACCCTAATTTGTATTCATAAGAAATTTTATTAATATCTTAATTTTTATTTTAACAATTTATACAACTTTTACAAAATAATCTCTCAGAGAATATAGACAAGTATATTTTCTTCTTAACCATTATCTTAAATGTAATGTTCTTACCAACATAAATGAGTAAGTTAATTAACAATTTACGCACTTTAATTCCGCAGCAATAAAAGGTAAACATGATTAAAATTTCCGGGTACAGTGCCCAACAATTCTCTGACCATAATCCCAATGGATAATTAAAATTAATCGGTAGTTAAAGTCTCGGTTAATTATTTTAATATTTAATTACTTTGCGAATAATTTAAAAAGATAATTTATGAAGGTAATAAAGCCAGTAGTACCAATATAATAGATACTGAATGCAAATAAGAATTTTGATCTAATATTGCTTGATTTTATCTATATTAACATATGTATGTCTGTCTGCTGCTATAAACTGCCTGCTAATTTTTAGCGTGCTGATAAGTGAGTAGAAGTTGCATATGAAAACTTCCCATTACTTTCAAGAGTAGTGACTCGTAAGGACCTATATTCTGTGAATTTACATATATATATATATATATATATATATATATATATATATATATATATATATATATATATATATATATATATATATGTATAATATATAAGAGTAAATAAATAAATATTATAAATATGAAAGTGAATTTGTTTGTTATCTTATAGCACCTTAACGGCTTAACCAATGACTATGAAATTTGGTATTAGGCTATTCTTTATACCGGTCAGTAAACATGTCCTAGTCACGCGAACGAAGTCGCAGGCAAAAGCTATATAAATATAAGCAACGAATGCTACTACACACACATACACACAAAAGCTTTTTATTTATAGAACCCAACTACAACAAAATAATAGCAAACAGAATTACGATACTGGCTTCGTTTCATTGTTCGACATTTCATAGGCCATAATGGCGTCTACAGAAATACATCGGATATGAACAACAAAGTAAACCAACGGTCCGTGAAGCTTGAAAAATGGATATGTCTATAAAATTGTACTGCTGAAACATGTCTCACGAACAGCATGTTCTAACCTACCCAAAGTTATCGTAGAACACAAGTATATATTGCCCACAAAAGCGACTTCAATCATAAACGCACCAATAAACGATGACATGTTTCGTAGATACCTTGCAATATCATGTTTCGTAGATACCTTTTATTGTAGATAAATATGACTTGTTTACATATAAATTTTGTATCGCAACAAGCAGTTTTTTCTCCGTGTAGAATAACAACAGCTTCACCCTTCAAAAATGTAAAATGCAACCAACACAAGTGTAAACCTTAGCGATTGCAGAAATAATGGTAAAAGTCTGTTCAATATTGATCTAAAACAGTCGCAAAAAATGACGCGAATTGTATCTTTTATAAATGTAACGAAATAACTTAAGCTAATTGTTGACGGCAAACAAATTATGCTTTTACAATTACTTTTTACTTTCGAATCAATAATTTTTTAAAGGAATACATGTAATTCATACCTAATATGATATAGATTTTTTTAATGAGTGGTAATGAAATGGTCACCCCGCCTGCGCTACCGGTATACGCTGGCGGGGCACCAGTGAGAGATGATAGGTGAAGATGAAAGCAGATCAGTTAGTCCATCATGACGAATCGCACTAGAATTAACCACAATGGTTTCTAGGGGAAACCACATGGAGGTGGACCTAATAGGGTGTATAACTAGCAACAGCTATACCCACAGTTAGACCCCATTACTAACAATCCCTTTCCTTCCAATTTGATATAGATAGAAATATAAAACTTGTTGTTAACTTTCAGTAACGTATAACCAAAAAGCAATTGATTCTAAACAGAATGATTTTGGCCTATATTCATTACACTGGATATAGGTAGCTTAATGTAGCTTTACGTTTCAATTTTCTCGGTATAAAATGTTTTGTTAGTTACCTCTTACAATATTTTGTTTATAAAAATGAATGATACTCAATCAGTACATTAATTGATTGTTTAGGTAGTGATTTTTTAGATTTAGTTTCATAGTTTTGATACTAATACACGTGAACATAACTAGTATATCTTAAATACTTTTACTGGAAAATACCACTATACCCAAGGAAACACTCCCGATAATAAATACGTTATGAAAAACTTCGTTATTTAGCACTGCCCGTACTTTTCCATTAGCAGCGACTGTGACATTAGCTCACCATTACCCGCATTGTACTGTTAATTTGTTCAGAGATATTTTATACTCGTAACATGAAATAAAGTAAATAAATATGCTCGCGAATGTAATCCCAGATGGTAGACATTAGTCCGCTGTAGCCTTTATGGTGAATTAAACACTTCACTTTTCCATACTTTCAACCGACTTCAAAAAGGAGAGCTATTTTGTTTTCACTATACTTTTTACAAAAAGACGCATTAATTCGCTAAACAGTCGGTAATGGAGTACACACTGATAATTGTCAATATGACTACAAACGGATATTACTAGACCTCTTGAATAAAAGATATAAATTTACACTTAAAACTACTAATCTACTAAAACTCTGTATTGAAAAAGAAGATGATAACAAAAACTTTTTATTATTCCTTTATTCTGTATACCTACATGTACATAAATATTATTACTATATACAACAACGCTTCAGCCGTAACAGGCCGTAACCTATAGGTCTACGACTTCGCAGCGAATTTTAGAATTTCGTAGCAACAGTTGCATTCTGTTCACTCCACACGCCGCTCGCTCGCGCCTACGTCTCATTCAAAGTTGGAACGCGAAGTGTTACCGTAGCGTTTGAACTTTCTTAATTTACATACCTAATGGGAAATTTAATTTTCTTTTGACGTCATTAAAAATGTTTTACTAATTTTTGTGTAACTCGAATATCTATTTAATAAATATATGTATATGTATATTTAGTAAAAGATATTATAATATTGAACAGAATAATATTATTCATTTTATTAGACATTAATTAATAAAAAATATGTTTAGTAAATAATATTTAATCTAAACAATGATAGTGAATGATAAAAGTGAAACATGAAGTTTATTGTAATTTACTTTCTCTTTGCATATATAAAAGGTAATGTATTTTCAAACATGCAAATTAATAAAATTTAATTAATAATTTAAATTATTTTAAAAAAATAATTTATTTTATGTTAAAATTTAATAATTATAATTTAATAAACTTCTTTGTTATTGATTAGGAGTTCATTTTCATATTTATTATTCTATTTTCTTATAATTTTATATCCCTTACAAATGTAATATACCCGGCAATCGATTGCTAAATGTTAAATCAACGGATTTAGATGATCAAAATAATTTATTTTGCATTCATAAATAAAGATGCTACACCAAATTAGATATATATTAATTAACCTACAAATAAATAAAGTGGAAACTTCGATGTATTTTTCTTGCATGTGTTAGTAAAAAAACATGGCATTTTTTATTCAAAATATTTATTTATTTTCGTAAATTACTATTTCTCTTATTATTTTATTTTTGGGTGATTTTTTCTCTAAAAATATTTTAAGATTACTTAGTAAAAATAACGAGTATTACATTTTTCTAAATACGAGTAATGTTTATTACTAATTTTGTTTTTTTGTTTCCTATTGAAAGGGTATATCAAATGATCACAATCTCACCTGATGGAAAGCGACGATGTGGTCTAAGATAGAACCTCGCGGGCCCACGAATAGCCTATTCATTTTTGCCTTAAATTGGTGCAGATTATTTTGAGATGAAAAACATAAGCAGGGACAAAGTTCTACTACTACTACAAATAATCTTATTGTAATGTATACAAAAACCCTAACATTCCCTACAAAATTACCACATTTTCAAATACGTAATTTTATTTGTCTTTGTATTATTAATTTGCCAGTAACAATATGCCTACGAGTTGTCGGCATATCGGTGCCGACGTTCAAACAACGAGGCGAGCCTGCCATCTTGACGTGCGACTACGATTTAGAAGGTGGCCGGCTTTATTCCGTTAAATGGTATAGGGATAATGAAGAGTTCTACCGATACATGCCGAGACTGAGGCCACCGCAGCACGCTCACAGGCTGGACGGCGTTAAAGTTGATGTAAGTTTGTCTGTGTCAAAATTCTTCAAAGTACCTATTTAGAATGTCAAACAAACTGACGACCCACCTGGTCGTAAGTGGTAACCAAAATTTAAGAATAGAGGATACTCGATACCCTCTACCTCATACTGGATGATAGAAAGATAAGTCCCTAAAATTTTAGCAAATTAGATATTACAACAGTTGCAGTAAAGTTTTCTTAATTTTATTTTACAACTTCTGAATAAGTTAATTAAAATTAGGCTATAATATTTAAAAATAAATAAATTCTTCAAAAATTAATTAAATTAATATATTTTCAATGTAGTGACTGAATAAATGTGTATTTTTTACTCCAACACAATACAATTCCATGTCGGTAATATCGTCAGATGGGACAATACATCAGTGCAAAAAATAGAGAACTGGTTATTACAATACAAAGTATAGCAATTTCCAGTTGATAGTAGGATAATGTCTTCCTTTTATGAGAAGCTTAAATGCTCAGCTGTGATACTATTATGATAACTAAGTTTTAAAAGAGTCTAGCAAACAATATGATAAATATTATTTTTAATATTTATGAAATATAATTTTGCAAGATTCCCTCTGCGTTATAATGTTTTAGATTATTAAAAAAACATGCTCATAAATTATTAAAAGGCCAACAACGTGCTATAAATCTGCCTTGTGCTCCATTTTTTTATACACGTAAATACCATTTCCTATCAAATAGTCTGACGCTCTGGTTTTCATTACAATAAACAAAAACTTTATACGTCTCATACTGGGTTACTTCTTATCCCGGTAAATTAACATAACACGGTCACGTGGATGAAGTCCCAGGTAAAAACTAATTACGACTTAAGTTTTTCAAAATTCTCTAAAGCAAGTCTTTTTCTAAACAGTTGGAAAAGTCAAGCGCAAGACATGCACACCTTCGCGAGTTGACATTGAGATCACGAGGGCTCTACCGCTGCGAAGTGTCTGAAGAAGCTCCATCATTCCATTCAGCGCAAGCCGAAGCATTCATGGAGGTTTACTGTAAGTTTCAATTCACCCATCTTACTGTCAATGTTCTATTACTATGACCTACTGACATTTATAATTAACTTTATAGAACTTCTTAATAATTTAAGATTAAGTTCCCATTTAATCTTGAAAAAAAAAATAGTTATACAGTAATCAACACTTTAAAAAATAATAATCCAAATCCATTTGAGGATTACAAAGATGTCCTAATAACACAAAAATAAATATTTATATTTACAATTGAACTGGGACTTCTTTCCTTAATTCAACTTGAAATCGCGAAACTATTTTTGCTGATGGTGACAGAGTAAGACTACAGTGTGTAACCATCCCATTTCTTTCGCAATATGTTATGAGAAGTGACTAAGGTTATTAAAAAGTCCACCTTACAAAATAATAATAGGATTTGCTATACATAACCCACCAATGACAATAATCCTTTTCTTTTGAGGTCAAGAAAGCAAATCATTAATGGATTTATTGCTAGCGTGATAATTAAGTATCCATCATCATCATCATTGTCATATAAGCCTTTAACTGTTCACTGCTGAACATAAGCCTCCCCCTTGGGAAGTTTTAACAGCCGTTGCCACACTTGGCAGGCGGATTGGCAACCGCAATTAGACTAGAGATGTTTTAAGAGGGACGCTGCTGCTCATCCTTCTCCAATTCAGAGATTGGCGTCAAAAAAGAAACTTAAGGCATATTGCAAAATAGTAAATAAATTTGTTGAAAAAAGTTACCAATAAACGAATAGAATATCTGATCAACGATTAATTTAGTCTAATGATAAATTAATACTGCAATATCAAATACCTATATTTTGTGATTGATATAAAAAAAAGACTATAAAAATTCTCCACTATAATAATAATACCTCATGCTATGAACACAGTATACCTAAATATTAATTAACTTACCATAGATATAAAAATCTATCTCTACTAAACTGGGTATAATACACCATCAATGTAATATGGCCGAATAGAAAATTATATTTCGTCATGTTCCTCTCACGAAACTTCCTTAAATATGTACGTAGGCATTATAGATACTATGCCGTAAGTCCTAGGAGTATTATGTTGGCAACTCTGCCAATTTCGCCAAATTGTGCCATTCATATTTGAATGACGGGACCGGCACTTCGGTCCATGCGCGTCTGAAACCAACATAAACTTTACTACTACAAACTAATTCAGTAAACTAACTACAAGACGATTCGGTGCCTTAAGCAATACTGTACGTAGTTGGTTCAATTTTCCAAAATTAATAAATAGTAATTATAAATTCGATATCATTATTATACTAGGGGTGGATAATATATAGCAATATCTATATATTTTATTTACAATATCTATCGGTCAAATAACGAATATATTAAAAGTCTGTTATCCAAAAACTAATATTGGATGACTTAACATATTCTAAAAAAGATGTCTGACCGATATGGACGATATCGAAATGGATGATGAACTTTTTTCCGCCATCAATATCCAGAGGGAATATGTAGATATCTGATCAGTATCCATATTACCCGTCTACATTCTAATATTCAAATCGTATACCTATCTACATAACCGATACAGTAGTAAAATCTTATATTCTTCTCTTTAGGCAGAGACCCATATACAGTCGAACGTTAATAAATAATTAAAGTTAGTGCTGAAGATATGAATAAATATGTCTTTCATTTCTGTGGTACCATTCATAAACACACATCCCTTAGGGTACGGTCTACAGAAGCTCCAGCTGGGCAGATATTCGGAACAGCAAAATTTATCCGTTACAAGTTCACATGATCATGTAGTATAAAGGGCGAAATATATTCACATTTGTCTCAAGAGCAAAAAGCTATATCTATATTAGCCTAGCACTTTACCAAATAATTATTCTTTATTTTTTCAGATTTTCCTCGCGACAGTCCAATTATCACTGGTCACGATCGTCGTTACAAAATAGACGAACCTCTTGACGTCAACTGCTCCTCAGCTAGAGCGTTCCCAGCGCCAGACTTATATTGGCATATTAATGGACAAAAGGTAAATAACCCACTAATAGTGAAATCATCACCAGCGTTTCCATTCTAAACGAACTGAAAATCAGAGAGCGATTATCGTCGACTGTTCAAATACGAATTTTCAATTTACTTGGGCCATATCATCCGTAATGAAAACTATATAGAACATATAATTGCCTAAGAGTCGGTACAAGGCAAACGTTGTCAGGGTAGATCACCAACGCGATGGATTGATCTTATTAAAATTGCCACACAACAGTCTATTGTGGTATGCTCTCTGTCGGGTGTGAGTAGAAGTAAATGGAGACACATTGCGAGGACCTCATTCACAAAGAAGGGTGTCATCAGCGATCCACTATAATCATGAAAACCACGACCACTTTGTCAAGAGTGTACGACTGAAGAGAGTGAAATCAACAATTGAAAACGATAATTATAAAATAATAACAGAACTGGCAAACGCTGTTTCCTACTATCACGTACTGAGTTCATTTTTTCTCATCTAAATAAAAATTATTCTATCTTTCTATATTATTATTTTTTATACTATTAATATCTCTATCGAAAGCAAACAATACAAATTTATAAAACTTCAGAGCTGTTTCGGAAATTAGCGTGAATGAAAATCATGACACGAAATTTTTATATGTCAAAAAGATAATATTTTTGTATTTTTCTTTGGGGATATTTTTGTGCACAGAAGAATCACGAAAAAAAGACAAAATAAAGTATAATAGTAAAAAGTATAAAATAAAGTATAAGTAAACTAGATATATTAAAATTTGTATGAAATAATTTATATAAATTATTTTCGATATATATCATCAACACAGTTCTGATTCATTAACGATTAGCAATCATCTAATATTCCATTGTACCTACATTTTCTATACAAATTTTCAGATCACAGAACGATCCTGGCTGATAGCTTACGGTGCAAAACCTGTCCCACAAGGCTTATTGGTGTCCACACTTGGACTTAAGGCTCCTGCTAAACCTCGAATGAAACTCCGTTGTGTTGCAACTATTGGTACACACAAAAGAGAAAGAACTGTCTTAATAGGTATATTCTTAATTATATCAGTACCTAGTATAGTTTAGTAGAACATTAAGTAAATAAAACAGATAATACATATCTAGTTCATGATCAGCAATGCTATTCTGTACAATTTCGAATATGAAATACAATAAATAGTATTTCATAACACACATCACTTTAATTTTTAAATTCTATAAGTTTTAATAATGATAAGTGAAATGAAATGAGTTTTGAAAACTGAATTCCTTATGGATATCACAATTACTTCTATTCTTCTACACACCGCCACTTTAACAAAATAGTTTTGTCATCAATTATACTTGTTTACAAAATACCACTGCAAGACACTCGCGAATTCGCTAGTGAAATTCCCATTTAAAATTACAGCATAGTATTACATGAATATCTAATAAATACACTATATATATCTACCTATTTATATGCATATAACCATAGAAAATCTTGATAAAGACATAAATAGATGTCTCCTTTAATATGCATACCTCACCAACAGAATAATAACTAACGTTAGATAGGTACTTGATTAGCTTTTCCACATATGTATAACATGTGTGGAATAGTTAAACTTTCGCGTTGATTACACATATTTGAAGTAAACTATCAAGACTTAACGTGATAAAAATTTGCAGGTAAATAGTACCTACATACCTGCTTCTTTATTGCCGACATTTCGACGTGACTTGCACCACCTCGTGATCACGGCAAGGAAAAAAAGGAAAATTTCATCGCGTTAAATCCCGATAGTGTATTTAAAATATGTGTGGAATTATTAATCATAGATAAATACTTTAACAAAAGCTTCAATTATGGGACTACCTTAAGTGTAGGTACTATTTACTGGTGAAGACATCATTAGATAACAGATCATTGTAAGAACATTCTGAATAATACTCGATTAACGGAACTTATCATTATTTTCTTTTTTTATTGCAGAAACCAATTCGGCGAGTTACTATAGTGGAGTCGGTGGATCTTTATTGACTTTTATAAGCATCAATATATTCGTGCGTGACAAAATATCGTGATAGGTAGTTTTTTGTTAAGCATTAAATGTAAATAAAGTAACATTGTTTGAATATTATTTTTTATTGTCCTTAATCAAGTTTAGACGTGTCGTAAAGTGCATATTATGTATCGACAGAATTAACTACTTATATACCATAGGCACTGGCACGAAAGTAGGTATCAGCTGGTGTATATATACCTTTGGGAACCCAATTACAGTACCTATTAGCTGCATATATAAAAAAATACCAACGTAGAAAAATCATTATTTCATACGAATAATACCTGTATAGAAAACATACTCAGAACTATACCTAATCTCTAGTGAGATAATTAAGGGGACTGATTGTTAACTGTTGGGATTAACGTAGTATTCAAATTGATATAAACTCATTTCACAAAAAAAAATTAACCTTTCAGACGGCATTTCTATCGACGCCTATTGGATTAACAGTGTTTACTATATATAACCAGAGAATTAAAACTTTCAATTGACAAAGGTCGCGACCGCTGTAAGTATACTTGAGTCAGTGATACAAAACCAAAACTCTTTCGATATAAGTAACGGAAAAACAAATATAATTAAACCATATTTAATAGCTTAATGACAAAATACATTTACCCATTATTTTGGGGCATAATCTACTATTCCAATGAAAAATGAATACAGTAAATATACAGTATTTCATACAACAAAAATTAAATTATTACAAAAAAGCTTTTAATATCTGAATGGGTTCAAGGAGAGCCAATATTATACAGTTGTAATAATGAATGCAATAACATTTTAATCATTTTTTAACAAATCACTTTTCTCTCTTTATGCCTCTTGAACTCCTTCCCTTAAAAAATTAAACATAATATTTTTACATTAGACTATTATTAACATACAATGGGACAGCCCATTTACTACATAATTTTTTAAAATTAAATTAACTTTAGATATAAGTTTAGAGAATGATATTTCAGAATCAGACTCGATGCATATACAATATACTTAACATATGTATCAAAATTATAATAAAAATATAAGCAATTTCAGGATAGTATTGAATTACAATTACTACTATATTTTGCGTGCTTAATTATGTTAATAAGCAAAATATTTTATAACCTATTGAAACCCTGTCACCTCTATATCTTTACTTTAGATAATGTCAGGTTTCTTAGCATGTCACAGCATTAGTATTACTTTATACTATATAAATAATAAGACAACGTGAGTATAGCTATAACATTAAATGGTATAAGTATGAATAACTTTATACAAAAAATATCTTTTGACAGGTACTTACATAAAATTTTATTCTCAAGCAAAATTTGAAGACACTCAAGATTTTATTATTTTACTAATTGTTGAGATTTAAGATTAAACATAGTAATGTTAATAATAAAGGCAAAATGGTGTATCCTACAACTGATTATAAAATAAATTGAAAAAAAAATTTCTTCTACATATTTAAATTCATAAGTGTTTACTTTTTTATTCATGTTTAAGACACAATTATTGAAAAACCAGATTTCATACAGGAATAGAGTTTCCAAGGATCATAAGCAAATCTCTGTATTATACTTTTGTTGACTTATATGTGGACAGTTTGACATGAATACTATAATTTGCAACACACAGGCACTGTGTTTAAAAGTCAAATGTAATTTTGTAATTTAATATTCTAATACTATTTTTTTTTTTTAATTTAAACTTACTTTATCCTTCCTGTCCGAAATCTTCCATGAATTTCTTTAACTTTGTCATGTCTTCATCATTAACTGTCGGTTTAGAAATTGCCAAAGACCGCAGCATATCAGACATAGTTACAGGTGGTTCACCGAGTTTCTCGCTTGGAACCTCCATCCAAGTCATTTCAATGGCTCCTGGATCTCCAGGAGAACAAGGGGTCAAAAGATCATCTACCAGAACATCTGGATTAGTGGGACAACGGCCCCTTATTTTTTTAAAGTGTGTGGCTGATTGTACTTTGCGAACTGGTTGCATCAAAGCATCACGAACTACAATGCTTATATCAGCACCAGAGTATCCTTCAGTTTTTGCAGCCAAATCTTTCAAATCCTGCTCTGTTAATTGATGGTATGTATTACCCAAATGCAGTTTAAACATATCCAACCGTGCATGCTCTTCTGGTAGGGCGATGTAAATACGTTTTTCAAATCGTCGCCTAATAGCTGCATCAAGAACCCATGGTATATTTGTTGCACCAAGGACAAGAATTCCATCCATATCATTGCCAACACCCTGCATTTGTACAAGAAACTCTGTCTTGATTCTGCGAGCTGACTCAGATTCATTGTCAGAACGAGATGAACATAGTGAATCTATTTCATCAATAAAAATAATACTCGGCTTATGTTCCCGCGCTAATGTGAATAAGGTTTTAACTAACTTCTCAGACTCACCTAGCCATTTTGAAACAAGATTAGATGATGAAACAGAAAAGAAAGTAGAATTATTTGCTTCGGTTGCAACAGCTTTTGCCAAGTAAGATTTACCAGTACCAGGGGGTCCAAAAAGAAGAATTCCTTTCCAGGGTATTCTTTTACCTGTAAATAAATGAGGAAATTTAATGGGTAGAATAACTGCTTCCTTTAAAGCTTCTTTTGCTCCCTCTAATCCAGCAACATCACTCCACTTGACATGTGGTTTCTCTAATACAATTGCTCCCTCAAGCTGTCCTTGTAATTTCTTCTTTGACTGATCATCAGAATCAGTGTCACTATCACTTTTTTTGTCTTCACTCTTTGAATTGGATTCGCCATCTTTTAGTGGTTTCTTCTTATGATCTTTCTTAAGGTATTCTTTAAGTTTTTCTGCCCTGTCCAGGTATTGAAGGCATTTTGCACGAATACTCTCCTTTGCTCTTTCACCTTGTGCTTCATATTTCACAGCATGTAAAAAATATTCTACACCATGCTCATAAAGACGCAATGCTTCCTCATAATTTTTATTTTTATCCTCTTCTGTAGCTTTTGTGACAAGATCAATAGCTTTTTGTAATGTATTTGATGATGCCATGGTTTGCAACCAACTGCTATAACCTTTTTTTCTGAAAATAACCAAAAAAATTTTCTAACTTAAAACACAAGATATTTTATAGATTCACAAAGAAAAAACAAGGGATATAGCTAATATATAATAAGAAATATTTTTATTGATTTGTTTCATAATTTACTTTGTTATTTAAGAGTGCTGTATAACAACTCCCTTGGACCTAGTACCTATTGTACCCAAAAAGCACAATATATATAGACAAAATATTACTTTTAAAAACTTTATTGTTCTTTGTTGGTAAACTCAGATTTGATTAAATTCAATTTGTTTTAATAAGTAACTTACTAGCCAGTAATAGACTAGGTGAATAGAAAGACCTTGAAATGAAAATAGCCTGAATGTAACATATTCCTAAATGTAAAATTAAATTTGATACAGGTAGAGTTCAAAATATAAAGGAAGGGGATTGTTATAATGGGGTCAAGGCCCCAAGGTTAGCTGTATTGCTAAATCTATCAGTTTGAACTCCACATAGAGTTCGAACTCTAAGTCCAAGGAAATCAATGTGGTTTATTACTAGTGAATTCATAGCAATGCGCCAACTGACCTGTTATCAATCTTTGCTTTCTATATTTCTCTATAACATTTAATTTAGTTTTACTTTCATATTAATTCCATTCTTCCACCATAAAAAACAACTAGTTTCTTGGAATTAAGCACCATCACTCCCCTGAGAATTACTATTGTTAATTTCTGGTTAATATTCCATATTGGTTCAATTATTCTGACTTCATCCTCACCTATCACAACTCACTGAGGACTACGTAGTGTGAATAAATTATGAAAGTGCAGTTACCATTCTAATCCATAAAAAACATTGTAGTTATCAAAAAAAACTTATGTATGAATATTAGATATAAATAAATATTAAGAGGTGCAAGTGATAACTGCTGTATCTATCAACACTAAATGCCAAAGGTATAGACCTAATATAATATATATATATATTGAATACAAACAACTTATATAAATTAAGTCCTTATTTGAGATGAATCCGATGAAATAAAAATGACTCACACATTTTACATACAAAAGTAAAACTAAGCTTTGCCTACATAGTCAAAGAATTATTTCCAAAAATAACGGTAGCGAAGTGATATATTATTACAAATTGCAAGTTAAAAACATGTAAGCATTTAATTAATCGAGAAGTTATAATAATTAACTAGGTGAGCACTCATATTTCAAAACTAGTCTTGATTGATACAAGACATAATGATACAATGTTAAACTCTTTAGGCACTTACTATTTGACTCAGTAAGAATTGTATGATATACACCATTCACGCAAGAACCAAAACAAATAGTATGTTTTCGTAAACAGATGAAAAGATGAGAAGGAAAAAATTTTAGTTCTTTATAATATTCTTGTACACAGGCTATAGTTTATTTGCGATTTTTTCGTCACTCAATTGAGCGAAAATGACATAATTTCAAAATGTTGCCAATACAAAAAAGAAATTAAATTATAGCGTACACAGACGATTAGTAAGCTATCTGTTGCACCTAGACGGAATATAAACTCATGCATGCGTCTATTTTTAATCTAATCGCAGACAGTACAATTTATTATTTTTTCCGCTCTTAAAACTTACCTCCATAAAGTAGCCTGAAAGAGTTTCTAATATGTATCTAGGCAGTTTGTAAACAGATTTTAAAAATCAGTGATTTAAAATTTGAATCGGCTACCTATCTTTTTAGCCTAACTACATCTTTAATAAACACTATGTGGCTACTTCAGTTAATGAGCTAACCCGTTGTTCCCCAAGTAGATCGCACATACTTAAAGAAAATATTCAATATTATGGAATATCATATGGGATCTCTAGTCCCTATTGTTTTTTTCTCTCTATTATGCCTGTGCTTAAATTTTGCATCATGCACTTAAATATAGTATCTATATCTATGACAAAATTTATGTGGTGATTCAAAGATTTCAAGGAATTAAAAAAAATACTAGGAATATTTATATTATAAAATTACTTTTATTTAAAATCTTAAGTCTAGAAACTGTTACTATAAAATAAGCTATTATTCAAGTAACCAAAGTAGCTTTATACAGCTTGAATTTTCCTACAAACTTCTTGACTACTTCTTTAGGATAAGGCTTGATTGCTAAACAGGTAGCTATATTTTCAGGTTGTTCAATCCATAACTTGTGATCTATTGAGTTTTCTTTTAATTTTTCTGCAACCTTTTTCAATGACTCTTCATTAGGAACCTAGAGATGAATAAAATAGTTTTATAAATAGGAACATTAAATATAATATTATGTTAGATATGTTACATTAACCACAAAAAACAAAAATTATGATTATTCTACCTAATAAAGAAATACATGAAGGAGGTAAAATCAAGTAGTTCTGATAGATAAATGTTATTAATGTCAATTAATTAGTTATAAATTCCTCAACTTCTTAAATAAGAAATTTTATCTAGTATCTTATAATTATCTGAAAACCTTAATGTACTATGTAGATTTTAAAACTGTATGTTTACAACACAACACAGGGAGCAAACGAGCATGCGGCTCAACTGATGGTAAGCTATAAACATAATCCAATAACATATGTAAAATATATTACTTGTATTGAAATATATATTTGTAAATTAATTTTATTTCCTTAAGAAAACCAAAATTATGATTAACATTTTAAACCATATTATGTTACACTTTACAAACTACACACCAAAGATAAAGTAACATGGTTTATTAGATACCTATATGTATTATTATGTAATCTTTTTAGATATATAATGCTGGCAGAAATGGTTATAAAATGAATGAATAATTGCAATTAAAGATGAATAGAAGTCAACCAGAAAAATATTAATATAAAACATTTTTATTGAGTAAAAATTGAAACTGCAAAGACAAAAGGTAAAACACTGTTTTAAACAACTAAAATCGAATTCATTCTACATCTTTACTACTTACTTCTAAGACCACTTTATGCATATTATCTAAATCATTTAAGTACTGTATGGTGTGTTCATCTGATCTATAGAGATGTAAAACTGCAGTTGAAGCATGACAGGCCTGTGCGACCAAAGCACCAATTGACCACCCCAAATCTTTTAACAAATCACTTCTTAACAAAACATATTGAACTATTGTATTAGACATAGTTGTAACTACTAAGTATGAAAGACAGTCTTCATTAAATGTATCACTACTTATTTACTTTAATTCCTATAATTTAAGCAAATAACTAACGTACATGAATAATGTCACAATTTTTATTCAAATCAAGGATATTTTGTGAACGATAAATTAATATGATGTCGAATTGTGGACGAACAACTTTAACCTTTGGGTTACATACAAATAGGAAATTCGTAGAGTAATCACTACCGTCATTATCCTTATTATAACTAGAAAGTGAGTTTATGCAACCATTTACATGTATCAATCATTATTGCCTTGCCTTTTCCCATTTATTTGTGATCGGCGCAAGAAATACAATAAAATAAACAAACATCCAATGTGTTGTGCCTATTTATAAAATGTATCTATTAAAAATATCGACATCAATAAGTTACATAAAATTCATGTTACATTTAAGAAATGTTATTTTATTCAGAGTGACGAAATGCTATTTTAATATTGATTAGTGACATAAACATGACAGATGTCATTATACCTTTAGGTAAGCATAGCATAGACAGTTTCTGCTCTGAGCCACAGATATAGTTTAAATCTTTCTTTTCAGTTTTTATTTTTACCATAGAAAAATAATATACTAAATATACAGTGGACTCGATTCGATTTGCAAAATGCGTGTTGCAACAAGTGTGTTCTTATGTTTTCTATTACTTCTATTTTTTACCAACGGCAAAGATGCTTACTTAATTTTATTCATCTAATCGTTTACTATTGACCTAAATATTCAAATTTTTACGTTTACAGATTTTTTTTTAATCTGTGGCGTATTACTGACCATCATAATACGCTTTTTATATTACTGGTCATCATATTCCGTCTTTTATATTTTTATACTGATTTTATATTGTCTTATGTTTTTACTATTCTGTCAGGATAGTCATTATGTTTTCCTACCGATGAAGACATGATAAAAGAGAACTACAATATTAAGCATTTTTATTAACCCGTTTCTGTTTAAACTCATTTATGAATAAGTACATCACAAAATTCAAACTGTCAAACAGTTAAATCTTAAAAAAGTACTCTGTGTTTACACACAATACAATACCGACAAATGTGACGCTTCTGACATAGTTTCTCTAATCTGTGGTGACGCTTGCAAATCTGTGTAAGTTAAAACACCAATTTGAAAATAATAATACCTATTTTATTACTTTTATAGAAAGTTAATGAGTATATTATTATTATCGTAGAAACATTGTGGAGAAATGGCTTCAGGACTAGAAAATTATGTGAACCAAACTGTTTCAGTGATAACCTCAGATGGCCGAAACTTCATCGGTACATTAAAGGGATTTGATCAAACAATTAACATTATTTTGGACGAATCACACGAGAGAGTGTTTTCTTCATCAACTGGAGTGGCACAAGTGGTACTAGGACTTCACATAATTAGAGGAGATAATATAGCAGTTGTAGGTCAAATAGATGAATCAATAGATAGCAGACTCGATCTCGGCAACATTAAAGCTGAGCCTTTAGGACCTATTGTACATTGATATTTATTTCATAAGTACCTAATAATAAATAGAGTATGTTTTTAATATAGTCTTTTTTTATTAGAAAATACAAAATTTACACTTGAGCACCCTTTTATACAATTTGAAATAGTTAACAGGCTACCATATTAATATTAAATAATAGGCTAACATCACTATGGGCATAATAAAATATGCTATGACACCAATAGTATCAGGATATACATGCAGGCATTCTTGGCATTTTTAAGAGTTAAAATGTTGTGGCTCCATGTTGAGTGATTTTCTTGTTACTGTATATTTTAACTCAATACATTTCACAGCTGCTTGGCAGTAGAAAAATTAATACAACAGGTGTATATGCAGACGACTTAGTCTCCCTCTAGTAGATAGGATATCTGTAGTGGTTGACAATACAAATTTCTTATTTCAATAAATAAAAGATGTTATTATGTCAACAATTATATTGTTTCTAAGCATATATAAATTAGATTCATATAGAGGAAATACAAAAGCAATTTAAATGCTTTTACATAGTACTAAAAATAAAACTATTCTAATTTCAACAATATTATTCTATAATTGATAAAGCTAAAGTTAAAATCAATAACAATACAATATCTTATGACACCTTATTATATTTTTTTTTTTTGGTTGAGATGTATTAAATGATTTATAATATTGTTTGCTGGTAGTGTCAGCTTAATATTAATTGTAAATAATGTAACATCTTCCATGAAATATTAATAAAACCAAAACTTATTTATATTATTATATGGCTAGCTGTGCTTTTGATATAATAGAAAGATAGTTTTATGTCCTTTCCATCCTTATGTTAAATACCAAATTTAATTGAAGATTGGTTGATCTGTTAAAGCAGCACTCGTTTTCACATTTAGAATATTACTAAAAATATTAACATATTCAAATTAATTATTAAAAGTAGTTTAGATGAATTAACCATTACATAAAAAATATACAATTATAACTGTCATACTTTGATTAGATGATTATAAATAAAATTGGTGGGTCATATTTTATACTGACAAATTGAATGAAAAACATAGTATTGCGGATGACGTATTTGTATCAAGCATAGTAAATTTAACCACACATTTCTACAGAATCCTGTAATACTTTTGTAATTTTCATAAATGGTCTAAAAAATTAACTTTTAGCATTTATACAATTTTATCAACCAGATTGATCCTTATACATCAAAATGCATAACATGTTCTTTGCAACATATATTTTGGGGAAATGGTTATAACTATATCTACTTAACAAGGAGTCATGTATTACTACAATAAAATTTGGCATAACAATATATGATTGATGAAAATGAAATGAATCAGTAAAAGTGGATATCATAGCTCTCTGCACTATAATGTATATGAGAAAACTATACACAATACAAAATGTGCATTATGCATAGTGCTACAAAGCAGATAGGATGTGCCAGGCACAACCTTTTACTGTTTATGTTCTTTTCTACTATTCACAGTCAAACATAAGTATCTAATAACTAAACTAAGTATAAATTGAGGCTATTTATATAGAAAACAGCTAGTTTAATTGATCCCAGTAGACATCTATCTATAATGATATGAGAGATGGATGTTTTCTGCACAAATAGTTCCAACTGATACTGTTATATCACATAAAATACTATTGCTAGTAAAATTAGTCAGTGTTTTATTCGATTTTTTTCTCCGTTTACTAAGTGTAAATGTATATTTTATTCTTTAATTCTAGGAGTAGCCACTAGACTTATTGATGAAAACAATTTCTTGTGACCTGAAAAAAAGAAATAAAAAATTAATAACCATTCAAGACTGGAACAAATACTGAGATAACTAATACTATTAACAAGTAATATTTTAATTATAATTAATAGACTAAAGATATCTTAGACCAAAATATGGAAAGAATAAGATTAAAATCTATAAATTATTGTTATTCTTGTTAATACAGTTCATAATTTTTAATAAGCTGTGGTTTTCATAAATAAAAACGAATTACAAATTATATCATATTATATTAACTTAAAAAGGTAATAAGTAAATCAAATTTTGAGTTGGTAAATTTAATATTTTATTATTTAGGTAACATCATGTAACTAAAGATGTTGCTTCTAACACACAGTCGTAATGTCACAGTCTCCTTGTACAATTTATGAACACCAACCAAAACTATATATTGCCTTGGCCAAAAGTATTTGCCACCCCAGATAATTACTTACAGTATGGAAAGGGAAAAAAACTATGTACTCAAAATAACTTGAATGCTAAAATTTCATTAATATTTCATATAACCTTTAGTTTTAATTACAGCTTTCATTCTTTTGGATAAAGAGGAAATAAAATTTTTAATTCTTCTGGAGTTATGGCATTCCATTCCTGTATCAAAAAATTCTTTAAAGTTTCTTTGGAAGTAATTGAATGTTCCTTTATCTTGTGCTTTAAAATTGACCATAATGGTTCGATAGAGTTAAGATCCGATGACAGAGGATGTCAACTTAGAAGCTTTATATTATTTTTCTCAAACCAACTTGTAGAGGTTCTGGATTTATGGGGTGTTGTCCTGTTGGAAACATATGCATCTATATATGTATCACGGAACATCGTATCCAATGAGGGTTCCAGCGCTGTTTTAGCACATCGATATATTTTTTCGAATCCATTCGGCCTTCACATACGACCATTTTTCCAATTTCTGAAGCAGACATGCAGTCCCAGACCAGAACACTGCCTCCACCAAGTTTTACAGTCGGCATCATACATTCCGTTATGAATTCTTCGCCAACTCTGCGTCTCACATAGGTGGCACCTGCAATACTAAATATCTGAAATTTTATAAAATAATAAGATTTCTGAAAATACGTCTATTATTGAACTATTAAACTTCAATATATCACAAACGTCTTTAATTAATGTTTAATCGTTTAAATGACACAACTCAAAATTGGATTCATCCGACCAAATGATATTGCCCAATTTTCCTCTGTATAATATTAATGTTCTAAATACTAATGCAAACATAATTTCATGTTCTTCTCAGACAATCATGGCTGCTTCATTGCCTTACAACCCTTGAGCCCAGCATTCTGGAGCTTTCTTTTAGCAGAAATCTGTTTTCGCAGCGCCTCGCTTAGTTCAGCAGCCAATTCAGAAGATGGTTTCTTACGATTTTTCAAAAAAGTTCGCATTAACAGTCTCGACTTCTCTTGCAGATGTGATTGTTTTTCCTTCCACTGCATTTTAAGTTTTTAAGTCTTGTGGTCATCTTGTACCGATTTAAAATAATCTTACAATACTATGAGGGCATTTCATAATCTTGGCAATTTCTCTTTTATTTTTGCCTTCTTCAGACATGTGGACTTTTTATCGTTCTTCGTTACTTAATTCACGGCATTTTTCTAGTTTTTTTTTTTTTTTTTATGAACTGCCTCCCGTAAAACAACAACCAATTTACAATAATTTATCAACAGTTCTTCACACTATGATGAATCGTAGTAAACTAAAAATTTCCCTAGAATAATATAGAATATAATATAATAGAAATAAGTCACCTCTATTGTGTTTATAGTTTTATGACATGCTGCGTTGTTTTGGTTGGCTCATTTTAACCTTTAGACGTGTACTATGCGACAATAGATCCGGTACAGGTCAGTAAATAAGAAATTTCTAAGGATTTTTAGTGTGGATAATACTTTTGGCCAAGGCTGTAGGCACCTAAATCTAATCCATCATTTCTTAAACTATAATACATGTTTCAAGAACAATTTGAGTTGTAAATTTTATGAAAAACAATATGTATGTTGCAGATTGTCATGCCCCGTTTATAAGTTATGATAAAGTAGCTGCATTAGATAACGTTACTATTAGGTATTTGTGTTAATAGATCGTCAATTTTCTTTACAATAATTGAAATCCTAGTATTCTAGTAATCAGTATTGACAATAATAATATAAACAATACAAAACAATGGACACATTTAATTTGTTTACTAATATTATAATATATGGTATATTTCTACTGGGTCCGCGATTTTCCTGTTAGTAGTTTTCTGACTTGCCTGAAATTTTTAATACGGTGATAATAGAATGGTAACACGCCTGCTCTATTGGTATGCTGGTAGGCTACCAATGAGTGACGATAGACGATGAAGTAGCGGTTTACATGGAGGTCAACCTGACTGGTAATATTGCTAGTGATGAGAGCTAATTTACCTTCTACTAAAGATAATAAACAAAATATTCATAGAAGAATCAATGGATAAGCAAATTGAAGTAGCAATGGGTTGGTTATAATACTCGAAGATAGATACTCTTTATTGTTACCTCTTTAAGATTACAATAGTAAACTTACGATCAAGAAAATATTACATTAAGAAAACAACTGGCTGCCTTATTGTTAAGGGCTATCTCTTTGAATGGAGAAGAGTAATTATCAACAGTTTGACTGGAGGTACGAAACTATTAATGTGAATATATATGTATAATATTGTACATACATATGTAGTTACAAAAATAAAAAGAATTTGAATATGCTATTCAGACACAAATTACGAATATGACAACTTGCTCCGATAGAAGTAGATTTTTTAACCAAATGGGCACTTTTATAATTTACCACATTGTGGTATAATATTGTACGATTTTACCATTACAATAAAATTTTAAAGCAAAATGTATGCAATTGTATGCAGACGCTTTTTGTTTGCCGTTACAATATCTGGACATGCACAAAAATTTATCTAAATGTATCTTAATAAAATTACATACTATATCATAAAATATTGTAAAGGCAAAATTGCATGATATTGTATCATGCTACAATTTCAAAAGAGCTATTTAAGAAGATGCATTCGAAGTGATGATATTATAAAGGCAAAAGCAGTTTAGGGCGGCCCACCATTTAGTGCTACGATGACCTGTCGATCGTGACGCAGAAGTCGATAAATGCAGACTCATGATTGCTCCTTGTGGCACATTATGGAGGATATTTATGTTCAGCAATAAATGATGTTGATGTATGACTGAAATAATGAATCGTCATTTCAACACTACAATACTTAAGTAAAATAGAATGTGTGATCAGTGGAATTTTGTTAAGTATATAAAGATAACCTTATTTTTAATATTTAGGTTTGTGAGTGGATTTTAGAATCATTTTAATTCTAAGTTACGTATTAACGACGAATTATAACGTTTAGTATTTCCCAAATCCCAAAACGAAATATTAAAAAAGTACTATTAAGTAATATCAAATTGCAGATTAGAACCAAACAGCGGGGGCACGGTAACAGAAAGTACAGCGCTCAAAAAGCCCATTATGATTTCCAAGTTATTCAAGCGTATAGACTATTAAGACTAATAAAAAGAAAAAAAGGATATCATTAAAAAGAATTTCCCGAAAACAAAAAGAGTTTCTACGAGAACGAGAGATAAGGAATTCCGCGCGGGTGAAACCACAGTAATCACCTAACAACTTATAAACGTGGTAGACATCTATATAAGATTTAAATTAGTTTGAGAAATGATAATTTAATTAATATAGTGTATAATGAATACCTTTGTGAGATTAAAATTTTATCAAGTTATTTATCACTTTTAATTATCTCTATTTCAATTCCTTGTCTGAAATATAGGTATAAAGTAAAAAAAAAAAAAAAAATTAACACGCAATACAAATAAAATTAAATAAAAAAAAAAATAGGAATGATAAAATTCTTTACCTTTGCATTTTTTCTTTATACTGTTGTGTATTATATTTTTGAAAGAATTGCTTTCCATATTCGAAAGTTGCAATCATTATAGCACATGCTGGTGCTACTTTACATATTCTCGGCAATAATCCAGTAAATAGACCTCTAAATCCATGAATTCGGTATATGTTTCTAGCAATATTTTTCATATTCGAGGCTCTTTGTTGAACTTTGCCATCTAAAAAAAAATACTATTAGAATAATAGAAAAACCTATGTATACCTATGAGTAGAGGATTTATCAATTAACTAAGTGCTGATACCTTATGTAGTATTTTTTATGCACTATTTTTGAGGTTTTTGTGTACATTAAACACAACTGATTTAAAATCTCATCTTTTTCTGAAGTAGCTTGAAAATACCTTATAATATGTGTGCAAAACTATGCACACATATTTTGTGTATTTTATTAATGTTAGTGTTGTTAAAGTAAAATTTTTAGAGACAGATATGTACGTTTTTCAAAAATTCTACTGTAACAATAATACGAAATAAGAAAAAAAATCATACCTGTGTAAATCTCTTTTTCTCCCAATTCAATTTGTTGATGTGTTTTTATAACATCAAATGGTAAAGTTACTAAGGCGGCGATCTAAAAATATAAAACACAAATTCACACATTACTATGTTTGTGATAAATTCATACAGGCTGCTAATGTTTTGTGATAAGATTTATGTCGGCAGATATTTCTTGTATAATAGTTTCTCGTGATACTAAATTATAAATGACTCACATTGTTTACCAATTTTATCTCTAGATTGCTGTTACTATTGGAACTCGAAGCGATAGCAGAGATAATAAACATGATGAAACTAAATAATGGTTGTAGTTTTAAACGCGGCAATGGCAAGCTGAAGGGGATTTACCTTTAAATATTTCTACACTACACATATTTTTTGACCTTGTACAAATGTTCGCATAAATAACTCGCAATAAAATTACAGGATTTAAAAGCAAAACAAGTTCGTATTAGAAATAGCAATATTTCTTTCATATATATATATATATATATATATATATATATATATATATATATATATATATATATATATATATATATATAAAGTTTTGTATTGATTATGAATTAAATTCATTTGTTTAATATGTTTTCATTGAACAAATAAATGTCAAGAATATTTAGCAAATGGGTCACATATAAAATAATGGATGGACAGTATAGTGTACATAATAGCTGAGGCTAATTCTAAGACTTGAAGTAAGTTTGAATAGCAGGTAATATTCATAATTATGTATAATAATAATCACTTACACTGCCAGCAACAGATCCACAGAAGAAATTAAATACAAATGAATTTTTTTCTGAATCAGGTCTACTGAATGTTCTCTTTGTCGTTTCGAATGTTGTCCAATAAATACCTATAAATTATACAATACAATGAAAAAAAAAAGTTTTTACATCTATTGCTGAATTAAAGCATTACCCAAATAACAACGCGGGGAGCACGGGCCTACACGACATGAACGCAAATGCCTGTTAGGTTTGTGATTATATTCACAATAAGAATACTAAATGACACATAATCATACCAATCGCCTGGTTCTCAAGTTATGATATCCTGTGTCATGAGGAACCAAGCGATGAATGTTTGTGAGAACACCCAGATCTGAGAGAATTCAGAGAGTTTGTTTCCTAAATTAGTCAGACCGGAAATCAAACTTGGTATCTTATTATGCAAAGCAACGTAATCTTCTATTTATTCTACTTTAATCAAAAGTTGTCTATAAGAGATTGCTATAGGGATACTTTTTGTATCTTTATGTATATATTTTAATCTATATTTTATGCTACTGTATTACACTTGAATTTTTTAATTGTCATTTTATATTTTTTTATTTTTAGTACAAATAAGAATTAAATAAATAAATGTATCCACCATTGCACTAATGCTGGCATTGTACACTCAGGTATAGACAGAAGACGAGCAACATATGGACAGTTAACACTGATCGACCATCAAAGTAGTATAGTATTAAATAGCATAAGAAAAGTCCATTTAAGATATAAAGGATTATTTTATATCTGCATTACATATGTAAGAGCCATCCATACAAACTTGCAATAAGGATAGTCTTTTTGCTATGTCTAGACATTGCAATTCTTCCTATAGCCTCAGGTAGTTTGAGGCTGCCTACACCAAAGAAATTACTCAGCTAAGTCTACCATACATACTAAGGATAAATATATATGTAAAAATATTTTAACAGTACAAAGAAATTGCAATAATTTATTGTTTGTAATCTACATAAGTTCTTATAGAAATATCAAATAATTACCTGAAAAAGGGACATCTCTTAGAAGTGTTGATCCTAAACCACGGAACAATCCTTTAAAACCTTCATATTTAATGACTTGGTGTAATGCAGAGCTGATTTCTGTAAAGCCAAAGGTAAACAGTATAATAATACATAATAAATAAAATAAAAAAAAATATTTTATTTTATTTATTTATTATATTTTCAAATATACTATTGAACATACAGATAACATATAATAGCATTGTATACCAGCTGATGATAGAAAGAATATAAGCAAAGATGATCTGGTTTGAAAAAACCTAATTTGATATATCGAAACAGATCAATTTATCATATAAATTGACCTGTATCAATCCTGCATATATACATAGAAATATAATATGGTAGATAATTGCTATGTTACTCATGTAAAATTTAGAGCACTACCTGAATATGATAATCTCTTTGATTGCATTTTAGTTCTTATTAGCTCCAAAGGACTAACTATTGTAACTGCAGTTGTCCTGGCTGTTGCTCCTGCTATCAGTGGTATCCATAAGGGTTGTGTTGCTAGAAAAATAAATATATTTTTAAGGCTAGTCAGATTGTTTTCTAAATAAGCTAAAAATAAAAATATTCAAAGAAAATAATAAATGTTAACTAATAAATAACTTGTAACTACTTACTGTCACCAGAGTAACTGTTATATACAGTTTTCATTTTATATCGAAGTTGTTCATAAGATACGAAGTATATAACTGTACAGGGAAGAGCTAATATAAGAGTTGGACTTAAACCAGACCATAGAGCTGGCACTCCTTCGATCTTAGCTATTTTGTAAAATGCATCCTGTAAAAATAAAAATGGATGATAGATACTTATTTAAACAAAATATTTATGTAACTTACTATATCTAACTTCATTATGAATTTTAATAAGAGACTAACCATAGTGCCATTAAAATGTACTCGTCTTGGTATCCACGCCGTTTCTCCACAAGGACATAAGTGTTCCATTAGTCCATTGCAATACAAATAACACTTATTTGAAAGTAGAGCTTTTTGTTGAGCCTGTAGTCTAATTTTTACCACATCCAGCGGAGTCACTGCACATTTATAACCATTAATTTTAAACATTATAGGAAAAAAAAACAATACCTGCAATATAATGTAACCTTACTCAACTTACTGAATAGAGATGTTATGAGGGCACCACTGCAAGCCGATGCCATTTGCTGAAATGGAGTTATTCGAAACTGAGGATCATCTTCTCGGATCATGGTATCTGATAATTTCTAACACTAAATTAATAGATAATTTATTTAAAAACTATATACTACGGTTAAAACCGCTCATAGTCATATGTCTCAACAATTGTTTTCTTTTTTTTTTTTTTTTTTAGTACTTTGTTCCGTTTGGAACAGGCTGAAAAAGATAATTTGTCAAAAAAAAAACTGTCAAAGGTGTCAAAGATAAAATAAAAAATCATAGAGTATAGTTGTCTTCAACTATTTCTATTTTTAATAATAGCAATTCGTATAGTTACTTCAATGTTTGCTTGTTGGATCTTTATGAGATGTATAGATCAAAGTTCTTTCCTGTGTAAAGCTATTATTTTTCGTAGCTAACCTTGGCTGGTGAGATAAATGTTATCGGATTTTCGGGCAAACGATATACATTAACTTTAATGTCTGTCCAACTACTTAGTTTGACAGACTTGATAGTAATCATTTCTTTGTCATAAGAACAGAATATTAAAAATAATTAATTAATCGTGTACGAATACCATTATTTAAATTTAGTTTGAAATGATTTACATTGTACGGTTGGTATCACTGAATTGTAATTGATCTGTGCTCTGACTCATGATCCATCATTCATCAGTCACATCACTGCCATCTGGATGGAGGGCGTTACTATAAAGATTGAAGATATTTAAATTCAAATATTATTACGCGAAAATATCGTGTGTTTAATTGGTCTGATATTATTGATGAAAATATTTTTTTGAAATGTTTTCTACAGTTCCTAGGTCATTGTTGTAAGTACCGTTTATTTATTTTTGTAGTTTACATAACTTGACAGCTGTTTTTTTTGTATGATCTTTAAAATTTTGGGCTATTTTAATAATGAATTGAATATTTTACTCGTTGACATTCTTAATTCTTTAGATAGCACAGAAGTTTATACAGGGATAGATTAGAACTACTACTACTTTTGTCGAAACGTTGATGGTACATGTCGAAGTAGGTACCAATTTGATCTCGTTTTCAATGAAAAAATTCTAGGAAGCCTCACAGCTGACCTGTACAATTCAAGGTCACTCATAATTTTAAGAATTTTCGTGTAAAAGTATTATTATCATTACTTTTCAGCAGTTTAGTCTTATTGTCGTGACGCGCTGTATTAACAGAGCGAAGGATGTTTAGCCTATTTATTTTTAATTTGCGTCGTTTTAGGAATGGAAAAATCTTATGCGTCTATTAAACATGGTTATTTATAAGTTGCTTTGTTTTATATAGCTATTATTTAGTTTAGATTTTTTAGTTTTTACAATGTACTGTATTATACTTTTTTAATAACATTAGGCACTTTTAGTAACGTTTTTAAATATCTGGAATGGGACTACAGTTCTTTTATCTGTGTAATTTGTGTCTCACTTTTCTTATGGGGACTTCCAGAAAATCTTTCTTTATAAAAGTCAGCATCACAAGAGTCTTTGTGTAAAATTTTGCATTTGTGGGATTAATGACAGCAGAAATTTCATAAATAATTATTGATTGGTATCCTTTAATATATAGTTTTTCAAAATTTTCCTTTTCATAACATTAAAATATTTTAAATAATAGTAGGAGCCAAACTGGTAGTTGTAATGCCAAGTGTTTATAATATGCAACACAAGACTTGGCATGTGCACATAGATAGATAAATAAATAAACTGTTTGTTATTTGTATAGATATTTGTTTATTTTTTCTATAATTAAGTATCCATAGTATTTTGTATGCTAAGCCATTCTGTATAAGTAATTTAGTATGAGTCCTCAGTCCAAACTTTACCTGAATATGTACAAATGGTTTTTACATAGTCTTATTTATTTATTCATTGATTTATGATCATATTATGGATACATACTTTTTTTTTTTACAATAATTTTATCAATAATCATATCTAAGATTTTTTATTATTATTTATGACTGGTAATATATTTATAATAACACTTATTATTTTGATTGTGGATATATGTCTGTGTGATAAGTCTTATATTATTCATGATTAAAATTAATAATATAAGATATAAAAATTATTATTTTAAAATGAGATTAATTTTAAAATGATAATTTAACAGTGGATCTATTGGTGTTGGTAAACAATTTTCATAGAATGATTTCTTCTTACATTTTTTAAAATATTACAAACAATTGATTTTTAAACTTAGTGTTTTTTAACAGATAGTCTTTAGGATGCATTTAGGAGTGTCATGATTGACTTATGTCGGAAGGTGTGACATAACTATAGCTTCTTGATATAAAGCATTATATTTTATATCTTATATTATATTCATGATTTATCCATTAATATAATTTATATCAATATAAGTGTTGACTTCTAAACTACCTATTTATACTGTAATAATATAAGTAGACTTTACTTTGCAATAAATAGCAAATCTAATTACAAAATATATATGGTCCAATACAGAAAGAAAAACTATCGTTTGAAAAAAGAAGTGTTGGTATAATTTAGACGATTTGAGAATCTACTTCTCATAGAAGTGTAATAAAAATAAATATTTATTGATAGAAAATTCCTTTCTTGTAGAGTTTCTACGAAATTACTCAGCATTTATTGATGTGTTCACCTTTGAAAATGGTTTTTTGTGGTACTTTTTTTTTAATGGATGAAAATGGAATGGTAACCCCGCTTGTGCTATTGATATACGCTGCCGGGGAACCAGTGAGAGGTGCTAGATGAGTGTGAAAGCAGGTCAGTAAGCCCATTGCGACGAATTCTGTAAGAATTTACCATGATGGTTTCCAGGGGGAACCGCGTGGAGGTCGACCTGATGACATTGCTAGCAAAGGAACTGTTAGATCCTCATTATTACAATTCCTTTCCCCCCCGGTTTTTTGTGGTACTGGTTTAAGGTACCTGTTCGGCGTAAATTACATAAACGAATTTCGAATTTAAATAGCATCTAAGTAGGCTCTTTCGATTCTGCTTAAGGCAAAAAAAAATTAATGCAAATTACATGTCGCGATATTTATTTAAGTCTACATCTGTGTTTTCTATAGCCTTTCAAGCTTATTTCATGAAAACTAATAAAAAAGAATAAAAAAATAAATTATGACTCCTTATTTCAAAACCAACAAGTGATTGTGATGTGCTTCATAAAAACGCATAAGCTATTAGGTTTAACTAAGTTATTGAGATGCATTTTCTCTTAATACACAATGTGCGTAGGTTCCTTTTCCATACATTTCGACTATCAATTATATTATTTAATCTGATTCGGCGGTCTATGGCTGTGAAGACTGGAACATTGTGAAAGCTGTCTTATATTTCTAAGATGCAATGGCATGTTAGATATCAATCCTTATTTTTCAATACAGTTACATATATCGATTTATCTTTGGGTGTTTTCGATTAGTTTCGCACTCGATAGAAAATTATAGCCTGCTTCCTGCTGCTTCTGTTTTGAATCCTTTTTCAATCCTTATAATATCTCCTCCTTCTCCTTCTCATAATATCCTCATACCTATAATTTATCGAGTTTCAATAAAATCGCAAAAATTTTTTGCTACAATAAGATTTCTACAGGTACAAGGATTTTTTTGACGAAATGTCTATTGCATGTGCAGGCCTTTAAGGCAGGTCAATAATATATGTTTTAAATAAATAGTTGAGTATATTGTTAAAGATCTTTAGCAAAAATAATGCAATGTTAGCTATTTATAGGCTGTACCATTGAGAGAGAGTTGGCAACGACGCCTTGAATGTACCTTAAAATATTAGAAGCGTACAGAATTAGCAAATATTGTGTAGGTATGTACTAGGTTTTTACTTTAACACAGACACTATTCATTCATTACTTTAAGATTCGAATAGAAAAAAGTGAAAAAAATTAATAACATTAAAAAAAAAATTGTTTCTTGCTTGAATTATTTGTGTTCAATTTAATCCAACGATTTTTTAAAGAAGATACGATATACACCCAGACCACAACAAGATATAATAGATAGAATACACAGACATTTATTTCATGTATACATTTCATCTTATTGTTAAATAATTTAAAAGGGATGGCGCGATCAATAAGATTAAATAAGATCACAAACACTAGCATGTTTGCCAAATTGACAAATGGATAAAAGTGAATGCAAATGCTATAGAAACTTAGCGTCATCTACAAGTTTAATATTTGGCGCGCTTGTTACATATTTATAATTTTTTTCTTATTATTATATAAATTGGATCCCGTAGCGTACTGATTCGTGTACTTTCATTCAAATGTGTTTAGTAATTTTTGTAAAAGAGTACCCAACATTCATCTATAATTCAAGGATTTTAAGAAAAAAAAAATTGTTTTGTTGTAATTCGATACACTCATATAAAATATTTTCTTGGTATAACGATTTGACCGATTTTTGTCAGTCACGAGAGCAGCTAATAACAAATATAATAAGTTATTATATCACGTATACGTGTGCTAACTAGCGAGTGACGGCGATATACGTACAACGGACTAAATTGAGATTCCTCGTTTCGTATGATCCGTACGCCATGCTAAAAGTAGTTAATGACATAACATTGTAGTCGTAAAATTGAAAATGGAATGACTGGTCACGGTAAATGTTAAATGATGCTACCAACGAGTATCTACTTGTATGTTACTCTGTAGTGACAGGTAATGTTGAACATACAAGGTTACGCTGTTACGGTTATAATTTTATAATAAAACAAATAATTTAAGATTTTGTTCCTCAAATATTTCAAGCCTGACCAAACTAGTTCCTTTGATTTCATCAAACTAAACCACTGAACCGATTTTGATAAAATTTCTATGGAACTAATCTAAAAGTATATCCTTTCAGATTAAGAAATCAAATCGGTTTATAAATGACAGTGTTATGAGATAACAAACATAAAAAATACAAGCGAATTTGATCTTCTTTTTTGGAGTCGGTTAAAAAAGTAGATACGGTACAAAGCATGCCAAAAATGAAACCTGGAGATGACGCTAATTAGCACCACTATAAAATTTGCATACACCTCTGTGAAAATGACAAACAGCAGCCCTCTTAATAATTCTTATTGTTTTAATCACTCTCTTTTAAAGTATTTGTTAATGTGGTGAAATATCTATGTGTGCTATAGTTGTGTTCGAAGTATTTTATTTCAGTTGTTTTCTGATCGTATAATGCTATGTTGAACACACAAGGTTACGTTATTACGGAATACTTGACACTGCATTGTGTATTATCTTTCGCCAATATTGATTTCCATTGTAAACTTGATGTAGCTGTGCAGTTTTCATATCTTTATGCATCTATATCTGCGAAATTTAAATATATTGTAAATTATATAGGTAATCCCTACGAATATTTTAAAAGTCACATTGAGTTTGTATGACTATTTACTTTTCACGAGTTTCAAGGTTAGTCTCATGAAATTGGCAGAGTGATAGGTAGTTGATAATAGACTCGTAAGATTGATAAAAATAAATGAATATCACTTTTTATATTAGGACAACAATAACAACCGAATAAAAACAATAAAATTGTCTCGCATCATGCATTTTGGGCCGTGGTGTACTCGCAAAGTAATATTGCAAAAAATAAATCCGCCATCTGAAGGTGACGAAATAATAGCTAAGAATAATACATTGAATTGTAAATGGAAAAAAGGTTAAAATGTTTTAATTTAGGATTCAATTCACTGTCTATACCCTGTAAGAGACTTACTACATAGCGTGAAGTACGTGCAAGAAGTGCATATGAATTTCACACACTTCTATATTAAATCAGCTGTGCTCACAATTTCGTTTGCGTTGTGCCATTTTTACATACTTCTATATTTTTTTTGTAGTCTATATCTTGAGCCTATTCAGTGAAAATTTCATCATATAAGTTGAGTCGTTTTTAAGTAAAACGCTAAGAAAGAGACAAACTGACAAATTATATACAAACAAAAAAAATAAAAATAAAATTTATATATTTTTGCCCGCTACTTCATACAGTTCTAAATGGCGTATTAAGATAAAGTGTTATACCAGATTTTAGGTCAGACTTTTATAAACATAACTGTGAAAACCATATCCAATCTAGTGCAATAGTTTTGTGTGATGCTTGAACAAACATGTAGACAGACAAAATTTGTAAAAAATATTGTTTTGGCTTCTATTGGTCTATTATTCTTATTAAGATCCCTCATATTGATTTTTCTTATATTTTTAAATATCTTCCATGTACAGACATTATCTAGTTACAATTTTATTGTATATATAAGATGTAAACATGTATGTGATGTATATAGTTGGGAGGAATGCCTCCCGTTCAGAGCTATTATTTAATCTGTCGTGAAACGTATATGCGTGACGTAAAGTGTATGCTAATAAACGTAACAACATAATATACTTTGTATTTTAGATAGATAAAATAGATGGTATTTTGTTTTTATACGTAAAATAAATATTTAAATATCTTCATGTTTATTTTTATGTAAATAATTAAATGCTTAAGTGTTAATAAGCATGTACTTATATAAAAATTATGCATCAGAATCGTGATATCATAATAACAAGTGATAGGTATAGTCTCGACGTAAAATCACACCTCCCGTAAGCCCTGCCAAATGCACGAAGGACAAGCGTAATAAATATTTAACAGTCACGAAATACCTAGTGTCTCAAGCCAAATTTTCAGAACGTTACGAATAATTCAACTATATTCTTACATATCTCGTCATTTAATGCAGTCACATCTGCCATAATCAAGATACGTATTGAAGTTGCGGTATGTTAACAATGAATCTGGCATGTACTTATAAGAGTACTATAATTAATTATTCGCTGTATATATTTGCGGCTCTATTTGCGTACATTTTATGTACGCAAGTAGAGCTTATTCATAAAACCGTCAAACGCCTGATAAACATATTTTAGCTATTGAACTGTTTTGGCTCTTTCTTTTACACTAAATTTCAAATTTGAAAGAAAGTGACAAAACAGTGTAATAGTTAAACTTGTACAAGGTTTTAGTTTTTATGAATAAGAGGGTTAATTTATCGACCTTTTTTTATTTTCTATTCAAACTTTTTTTTAAGATAAGTCGTTTGTCGTGACTTCATCAGTATAGACTCGTTCTTTTTTTATTCTCTTAAAAACAATTGTACTGTGGATCGTAAAGAAAATTCATGAGGAGGTACTTCTCATTGTAAATACGAAACAATACTAATGTTAAGTTATACGAAAACCTGATAAATATGTTGTGAAGAAGTTATTTTCATGGTTTTATATAAGTAGTCTCAAGGAAAGACCACAGACTACTTGCGGCAGTCGAATGTTCTTGTATAGCCTACTAAAAAAATGTCGGCAAATGCATGGGGAAATCTCTCTCTGTGTAAAGGAACAGTGCGGAAAGAACAAAGACACCTATAGTCTGTTTTACTAGAATGTAATGTAAATGTAAACAAACGAATAATTGACGTGACCATAAGATACTTTCCTGAAACTGCTAATGTCCAATATTAGTACAAATAAAAATTAATTTGTGGTGTTCAATGCAAAACAGATTTTAGGAGTTCATTTTACAATTTAAGATTGTGTTCTATAAAAAAAAAAACCGATTTCAATAGTGGTTTAGTATACAATTGGTTGTGTACTAAACTACTCGTACACAACCAATTTTGATAAAACTATGGGATCAATCTAAAAATGACCTTTCAGATAAAGGAAAGAATTTTCCAAATCGATTTATAAATGACCGAGTTTAGAGGTAACAAACATAAAATAGAATCGAATAAAATCTCCTCCTTTTTAACCGACTTCAAAAAGGAGAATGTTCTCAATTCGGTTGTATTCTTTTATACATGTTACCTTATAACTCCGTCAGTATGATCGATTTGGAAAATTATTCTTTTTTTATATAAAAGGATAAACCTACTTGAAAGTACTACTGAAGTAGTCTGTTTTGTTGTAATCTTTAATTATGTGATGTCGGTTAAAAACACCCTTATATTGTTGTTGATAGATGTTGCACGAACGTAATAGTCCCGAACAGGGCGTTAGCGTTCGCGCTCACCAAATGTCCGTTCCTCGAGAACCCCAATCTGCAATGTCGGGAGTACCACGAGGTCACCGGTAATATTGTGTGCCCGAACGTGGTTAGAGGCATCGATCATCTCAGGGATCCTAGATTGAACAAGGTGAGTAATCATATAACCAGTTATATACTTTGTACGTCAAATAACAAGGAACATTGTAGTAGTAGAGTTAGTGGGTCAGAATGTCACGAATTTATGTAGTAATGATGCGTGATATCTGTTTGTTATATACAAATGGGATCTTTGTAACATTTTTTTCATTACCTACGTAATCGACCTAGAGACGTGTCGTTATGGAAATTTATAGTAGGCAACTATTAGCTGACCTGCTATTTATTGTTTTGCCTCCTATCGCCACCTTCCGGGTACATTTTTTTCTTATTGAGATGAAAATTATCCTATTTCTCAAGTTGGAGTAGACAATATACATTAACAAGATTTCATTAAAATAGATTTAGTTATTTTAGACATGTTTATATAAAGTTTAGGTATAGATCTATATTAACGTAGATGATATTAGATAGATAGGTAGATTTATTTGCCAGATCATTGTTTTTACAGATATTGATTTACAAATGAAGTACAAATCGTCATAGTCGTAGAATACTGACGGATCTGACAAAGATTAAATATATATATATATATATATATATATATATATATATATATATATATATATATATATATATATATCCAAAATCATTATTCTACGACAAGTTATTACATCAATTATTCGTTCGATTAATAATAATAAAATCATAATAGTATGTAAAAAAAATTATTGTTATGAATATCTGTTGTTATCGATCATCGATGACGAACTTTACGGGATAAATTAGAAATTATTTTGTATTGAGTAAAGTTCGATTAATAATAATAAAATCGTAAGTCTTTAACTAGTGCGTCTTGCTAGTGATGACCTATGGAATTGAAACATGGTCCTACACGGTTGCTCGTATGCAAAAGATTCAAATTACTTAGCGAGCTATAGAGAGGGCTATACTCGAAGTTCCTTGCGTTGTTGTTAGTTGTGTGACAGAATCCGAAATGAGGATATCTGTAAAAGAACCAAAGTGACCGACATAGTCCAAAGGTTAAGCAAGCTGACGTAGCAATATCTCGAAGAACCGACAACCGATATGGAAGAAAGGTTCTTGAGTGGCGATCCCGTACGGGAAAACGCAGTGTAGGACGTCCCTTCTAACTAGATGGAGTGACGACCTCAAACGCATTGCAGGAAGTCGGTGGATGCAGATGGCTCAGGACCATTTCTTATGGCATTAGATGGATAATGGCTAAGATGATGATGAAACTTACTATAAGTACGTACGTGTTCTTCTATTTGTACTTTTATGTTAAATTATTGTATTATTATTATTTATTACAAAGAATAAAGTTTTTCAAATTTTGTAATTGTTAAATAAGAATAATGTAAGGAAAAACTACTACTTTTCCTTTATTTGTATATTTCCTTGTTATTTTGTAATTGCTAACGGGTTTTTTAGTAGAAAAAAAAATACTAGGATATTGTTCAAGATCTATTATAATTTTATATATTTACGATTGATATAGAATCTCTTTTGATAAACCTATTTTTTACAATTATGCATTAATTCATTGAAAATAATCCATCCATTTTTGTCGTAGGCAGAAATAGTATGGTTGGCTTTTTTCTATTATATAAACTAGTAGATACACAAAATGTCCTATGTGCATAGTTAGGACGTAGCTGTGTACCTAATTTCATTCAAATCTGTTCAGTAGTTTTAGCATGACAGAGTAACAACTATCTGTCTGTCCATACAAACTCCCGCATTTATAATGTTAAAAGGATGTATTCATCACGATAGACAACGGACCTGCTTTCGTCCTCATCTGTCATCCCTCACTTCAGCTCGTCAATGCATACTGATTGTGCAGGTGGGCATTATATTATTATCCATAAAAAAGTCTCCTTTGGTAAATAAGTTGTGTATTTTTAGGGTCTAGCGTTCACATTGGAAGAACGACAAGCTCTCGGCATTCATGGCCTCTTAGCTGCCAAGTTCAAAAGTCAGGAGGAACAGCTGGATATTTGCAGGATATCCATCGACAGATACGAGGACAACCTCAATAAATATCTCTACCTCGTCGAGTTACAGGTGACTAAAAAAGACAAAGGTACCATTGATTTTATGATTATGTTTATTACTAGTTAATGTTGGGGTCGGATAAGGAAAATCTAACATTCTGAAATGGTTTGTTGTGTATATAAGTTTTATTACTATTATAAGGGTATCAAGCATACGAAAGAGAATAATGATATGTTTCAGAATCTCTTGTCTCTGGGAATTCAACAAAAAAAAAAAAAGTAATTATTTGATACTACGACACACACATAATACCATCTAGAAGATTATATCCAATCATGACCAATTAACCAAGTTTTCTATGTTATACAAGATTACACATTGGAAGGGTAGAGCTGAAATTCATTCTCTATATACACATAAATACCTAGGTATGCGACTACAAAATTTCTTTGAAATCCGTTACTGCATTTTCCCGTGATGACGTATCAGATTAGACGTCATCTCTAAAAATGACTGATTTGAATTGGATTTCTTTTAGTTTTCGACTTTCCGCTCCTTGCGATTTTATTATAGTGTGTATATAAAGATAATATAATATTATCTTTATTGCGTAATTGCCTCTCATGTAAATATAAAAATGTACGTAGATATATTATCTCAAATCAAATACATTTAGTAAGTGAGAATTAAATTCTATTATTTATAATAGCCCGTTATTTTCACGACTGTAACAGGAGCCATAATATTATATTTTCAACGGAGCTCAAAAAAGGAAGTTCGGAATTCGACTCTGTTTTTTTATGCATATGCTATGTGATTGTCGAAAATTATGAATAGATTCTGAAGATTTGTTTTTAATTAATCTTGTGCTGGTCGCGTACTAATTTTGTCAAGCTTTAAATTTGTGTTTTTGTTTAGTAATAAAATTATATTAAATATAAAATTAAATTACATTTAATTTAATTATAAAATTATATAAAATTAACTTAAATTATATGGCATTATTTGATTCGATGGACTGTGTAAAAGATGACATGGCCAGAAAAGTCTGTAAATAGAGTTAATTGTAAGAAGAAAACATTATCTCGACTCCAAATAAATACAGGGAAAGAGACTTGATTCTAATGATTTCTAAAGATTCCTATCAATGGAAGCAGAATAAATGTAATTCATAAATTAATAAAAATTCAAATTTTTAATATTTATTATCTCTTTTTGTATGGATATCCTTATAATGTGTAGTTATTCTCTATAATTAATTAAAACGTTAGGTCTCCGTAAATATACCTATTTAAATTTAACTATTAGTGCTTTGTTACTTTTCCGAATTGAGAATGTATCGTGAAAGGAAGAGATGAAACACTTCAATATACTAATAATAGGTTTATTGGACATTTGACGTTTTTATAAGAGAGAATATATGAGCAAGGTAAGCACGATAATTATAATACAAATTTATATTTGTTGGCCGAGTCGAGTTCAAGGTAACACTGTGGCTATACGAGGTTTGTCCGGAAAGTACGTATAAAAGTTTTTTAAAAATTTTATTTTACAATTATTCAGGTAAATCAATTTTATCCCCTTCAAAGTACTCCCCCTGTGACATAATGCACTTGTGCCAACGCCGTTTCCACTGTGAGAAGGCTCCTTGAAAGTCCTCTGGTTGTAGGTTTCTCAGCTGCCCCGTCGTAGCTTTTTTATCTCATTTATGTCCCCCAAATGCCGCCCCCGACGTACCAATTTGGTTTTTGGGAACAAGAAGAAGTCACACGGGGCCAAATCCGGCGAATAGGGGGTGTTCGGTCACCGTAATGGAATTTTTACTCAAAAACTCACGGAACGATCTTGGCGCAAATTTTTTTCATTTGAAGTTCGTTTCTTAGAATTTCGTGGACCACGGTTTTGCCCAAATTAAGCTCTTCAGCCACCTGTCTGACCGTTAAACGACGGTCCCCATTAACACAAGTTCGAATTCTTTCCACGTTTTCGTCGGAATGTGAAGTGGAAGGACGTCCTGAACGTGGGTCATCTTGAACGCTTTCTCGGCCCTCTCTGAATCTTTTTAGCCATTGTGGACGGTTGGTTCCTTCACAGCATCATCCCCATAAACTGTTCTGAGATCGGCAAAAATTTCACGGCCATTCTTGCCGAGTTTCGAGAGAAACTTGATTACGACGCGCTGCTCTTCAACGGAAGCGGGCTCCATGCCGACGGGGTTTCGTTAAGAGGTAACTTCACAGATGGCGTGACAAGCCAGTTCGCACCGCACGGCGGTCAGACCAGAACTGAAGCATTGTTAGGGACATAAGGAAGGGGTCCTGCGCTTACCTGGCCTCCCCACTCCTCTTTCTCGCATTCCAGAACACTTTTATACGAACTTTCCGGACAGACCTCGTATTTGCACTGTTTCCGTAATTAAAATTATAATCCTCTCTCATTTATCAACAAAGTTACGTGTAATAATGAAATGAAGCAATGTAAAATAACTAGCTCTTTCTCTTGGGAATATACTGTTTAAGCGGGATAATAGTTAGTATGTGTCCTCTAAGCCAAAATTAAATACTATGTGTTAGCCAGATTTCACGAAAATTGGTTAAGTCGTTAAATACATTTTATTTTCAATAATGTCAGCGTATCTGATCACTGCTGATTGGTAGTAGTAAATGACATCTTTTAAAATTGTGACAAATGCTTTTTATAAATGATAAGTATTTTATAATGATCATCAATTTGGTTTATTTAGAAATTTTGTGGTTTTCATGTAAACAAACTGTTGTATTTTTATAACTGTTTTTAAAATTTTGGGCGCTTGTTACTTTGGGGATCTGTAGTGGTTTAAGTTTAATAGCATGATGGTTATGGATCCGGTTAAAGCTGGTATCTGTCCATTAAGGTAATAACATATTAACACACGCAAGGTCGTTGGTAAATGTGTAACGTTAATGTAATGATTGGTATTAAGAACAAATTTGTTGGTCTACTCAATTTTCTATCTACGTGAGTAACTCTTCATATATTGGCAGAAAACGCTGAGGTACTAGGTCCAATTTTTGAGCCGAGCAAAAAATTTGTTACACAACATCTTTTTTTATGACTTTTATAGCGTAGCCATGTTGCTTGGCGTACAGGTCTAGATTTAAATTACTGGTTTGACCACTTTAAGAAATGAACTATTCTAAATTGGCTGGAGTTTTTTGTTAAAGTAATACAAAATGAAGAATGAGATAAATTTATTGATCGATAAGTAGTTGTAGGTGTATGCCATACTAATAAACTTGAGTTCCTGATTTCTAGGTGTTCAAATCATATTAATTATATTATAAAATGAAATCATGCATGTTATTTGTAGCGGCATTGAACTATTGCAGGATAGAAATGAAAAGTTGTTCTTCCGACTCCTTGCTGAGAACGTGGAGAAATATCTACCCATTGTATACACTCCGACCGTGGGATTGGCCTGCCAGAGATTCGGTCTCATTTACAGAAGACCCAGGGGTCTTTTCATCACTATCAACGACAAAGGACATATTTTTAATATTTTGAAGAATTGGTAAGTGTTTAGTAACAAATTGATTTCCGTCCAGTAACGGTGTATAAATGCAATAAGTGACCAATCCTTTTTATCCGGAGAATGTTGTAAAAAGTAACTAGGCCATCCTAAAGTAGAAAAACATGAAATAAAACCTACGTCGCCTAGCCAGGGTTATAAAAGTATAATATTCGCCTTGTGAACAGAAACCTTTTGTGAAGGAGAGAGCATTTAAATAATTCTGATAATGAATGAACGAGTATACGTTTATTTGCGTTGTATAGCAGGGAATAAAAGAAAATAAACTATAAATACACTTGTATATGCATAATCAGCATTATCATCATCATTATCATATCATGTTATCTGCCCACTGCTGAACATAAGTTCTATAGACTGTCATAAGGAATAGTCCCGAGCCACCTGCATCCACTGACTTCGTGCAATGTCTATATGTGTAATAATTGACAATCTTATGTGACTTTCAGTTTAATTGTTTATTATTATTCATAACTGGTGTCTTGTATTTGAATTAGGTATTGATCTAATTAGTAATAATATTATTTATATTTGAAATAAGTACAAGTGATTTTCGCAAGCAGTAATCGAATGGTCTTAATTTTTAACCAAATTCAAAAAGAAGCTAAAGCTCCGTCAGGTCTAAACCGATTTTTTTTTTATATATATAATAGGATATACTTACAGATTGATTTTATAAAAATGTTATAAAATTCGGTCAAGTAATTTACTTTTTAAATCAAAATAACTGGTTTTGTCGCAATTGAAGTGTTTTTTTTTTCGTGGGACACACTCTTTAATTATATAAATTACGATACGATCAGGAGGCTGAGGGCATAAATAAGATGCAACCGATTCTTATCTCTAATCGCTTAAGTTTAAACATTAGCCTAATAAAATTATCCTTATCTGTTTATACGTAAAGTACAGAATCAACATTTATGTACCTGTCCTCTAGACAAGAGGCAATCGAATATTTGTAAATATGTTTACGCCACCGTACGAAAGAGATAACGCTACAATAACGTCGGGTCTCTTGTTCTTTTTTATTATTTTTCGTTTGCCACTCGTCTAGAGGGACTGTTATGTAATTCAAGTAATATCTTTAATTTATTTTTTGTATTTAATGTCTGTTATCTAAATTTGCTTTGTATATATATATATATATATATATATATATATATATATATATATATATATATATGTATATATATATATGAGCATTAAAATGAAATAATAATACCACAATTGCTTGATATTAAGGTGACGAAGTAATATAAAAGTAGTTAGAAAAGAAAGAATATTATAATGTGGTTATATACCTACAATTAATGAAGGAAGTTTATATAAGGAATTGATAGAAAAATATATATTAATATATAAACATTGGTACACTACATATGTAATCTTCTGAAACATCGCTCCTTATCATATATTTCATAAAATATGCAAGGTGACTCCAAGCACAAATCATTGACCTGATAGTAATCAGTTATCATAGCCTACAGAATAAGCAATATCAAAATTGCCACCTGACAATAAAATAACATTGTACTACATCTAAAATTAATATCATTTTCAATTTTAGGCCCGAACCAGATGTACGAGCGATAGTGTTTACGGACGGCGAGCGTATCTTGGGCCTGGGAGATCTGGGCGCCTACGGTATGGGCATACCGGTCGGCAAGCTGTCACTGTACACCGCACTTGCCGGGATAAAACCGCACCAGTGTCTGCCCATAACGTTGGATGTTGGCACTGACAACCAGGTTAACTTATTTATAGTATTTCATGGCATATTTTGGTTTGAAGGTTAACATTATAATAGTAGAATTGCTGAGAGCTGCGATTCAAATCACAAGGGTGAATGACCTTTATTGTTGCTAACGAATACGTATACTATAAGGCCTTTTATCATAATTATCATATTCGTTATTTAAAAATAGGAAAGTTTTCGGAAATATCAAAACATAGGTATATCTATTTTACAATATTTACCTATCTTTAACAATGCCTCATTGCTGCTCAGTTTGAAGCTGGATAGCATAGAGTATTTTATTTATCGAACTAATCTTATGACCATATTACATTGTTTACTGGTTTAATGCTGTAGGTATCTCTAATCAGTCTTTTAAACTTTTTTTGCAAATACCTGATTGTGATAACAAATGTAGACGCATCAGACATGTATGACGCACAGCGACATTCGGAAATGTTACGTCATTAAGTCGATCACATATCAGATAATTTTTTATATTGATATGAAGCTATCTATGTATATTGTATATACATATTAGTGATATGATATGAATGTATCAGAAAAAATAATATTTAAAAGTAATTAATATTTAAAAGTTTTAATTACCAGAACAAAACTCTCACTTCTAGCTATTTCCCAAGGTGAATAGACTGTAATAATGTTTGTTATGTAATTCAATATGCCTTTGTCACCCGTACACAATTTAGTTTATCCTGTCAACACTAGGTCAGTGTCAGTGTATTATTAATATGTCACAATTGCTGTAGAATCTTACATTCCAAATTGTATCCTGTTGTAACGTTATATGAACTATTTTACAGGACCTATTGGAGGACCCATTATACATTGGTTTGCGGCAGAAACGCGTGCGAGGAAAGGAGTACGATGAATTTATTGACGAGTTCATGGAAGCCTGTGTGCAAAGATATGGCCAAAATACACTGCTACAAGTAAGTTATTCTTAGTTTATATATATCTATATGACCTTACATATGCCTGGTATTTATTTGTACACGTGCACTCTATTTTTTATGATTTTTTATCTAAAAATGACTATAAATCTTTTAATTTTTTAATTGAAACTAATTCGATATATAGTTATTTACTTTAACTTGTATTAATTAGATATTGATGTTGATATTGGCATGATATAGTCGATCGATAAAATGATAAATCTTAACAATCACTCTTTAACATGTTAGATAAAGTAACTCATAATCTTATTGCTAGGAAATTCAAGTATATTGACATCTATTGTGCTATTATGATAACTTATCTAATGTTGATTATTATGGTCATTTATCGCTTAATGACTTTTGATTTTTGGTACGATTAGTCGTGATTTTTTTTTATTTTCTTCAATGAAAGGATAAGAGCAAACAACTTGTATTTGAAATCTTAAAGAATCCGAGCGCTTAGTTTAGTCACTAATGACTGAAATGTACGGATTGAATAAAAAAAAAATGACCTATGTAAACTAATAAAATTGCCTTTTTACATACTTTAGCTGCCGAGTTTTCACGAGAATACACTTCGCAGTCGTCTGCGATTATATTCTTGCAGATTTCCTCTCCCGCAATATATAGCAATCAGTTTATGATAGTAGCAAATTGCATAATAATTGCTTTCTATCTTCATTTTTGACAAGTTTTATATCAGTAGGAAATATTGGTGTTGTTTCTGCCGTACTTTGGAAATAAATTAGTTTTATTGTCTTAGTCCTATCATTTGCCTGTTAATAATGCAAAGTGCATCTTACCTCTATGAAACAATCGTGCTGTTCATCATCATTATCATTACCTTTGCCTTTTCTCATTTATTTGCGGTCGGCGCAATATGTCTTCATCTGCCACAAATCTCTGTCAACTGTCATTTCTGGACTCACTCTTTTATGCATATTATCTTTTACACAGTCCATCTACCATTTCTTCGGTCGTCCCATTTACATTCAATGATTTTTTTTATGTAATACAATTATTTTTATCAATATAAAATCGATCGCGGAGTCAAGGCGCGGCGCTATGCACAGTGATTGATAATTTATAGGCAATCACCTTGACTTCTCGGTAATGTATGAAAGTTATGATACACTACGCGTCGGTCGATAACCCGGTACTCGGTACGTGTGAACAGACTAAGGTCATGATCAATACATATAATGTTTACTTTTTTATAGATAGGTAGGTATGCTAAAATTAATTGGAATAATATTAAGCACTGTTTATACTATAAATGTTTCGTAAACCAATTTTATTCATAATTATAGTATTTATACTTTAGGCTAATAAAAACAAATAATTGCCCGTAGTCATTGATAATTATTTTTGTTACTAAATTTTAATAGGTCTTGCCGTTTCTGTTTATTTATATACATTTTTTTGTAGAACTGAATAATTTAATGTAATGTTTTACTACAAGATATGCCAATTATAGATGGATCGATTTAGTGTGTTCATTTTTTGTTGTCATGTTCTTTCCATGACAACAAAAATTTGTTAATAAAAAATCTTTTATATTTTGTATGTATATTGATGTAACATATATGTATGTAACATTTTGGTTCTTTCGGCATATTTATCAAAATATAATGGATGTTTTGCTATGGCCTTTTAAATTATTCTAAGAATCGTACCGTAACGATTTGGCAATAAATTATTCATGAGTAGCCTGTCTTTCGCCGGTTATCAATGCAGTGTGACAAATGTAAAGTGACTGAAGTAAGTCGACTAGTTCCCTAAGTCATTCTTATCAATATTTATGAAATTGAGTTTGTTTGTTTTTTATTCACCTCTCGGTGCTCTACTCGCTCAACCAGTCTAATATTTGACATATATGGAGTATTTGGGATTGAAATCTATTTTTAATAAGGTCAATCAATATTCTAGTCAGGCAGACGGAAGTCGCGGGTAAAAAATAGATATTATTTCTTCAAAAAATGTTTAATAGAAAGTCATATTCGGTTATCTGTTTTTGTCTTGTATTCACGATTCACCAATTTCCTATATTACTCCCACATACTCAGGCTCGTGCTTGCATGACAGTCGCTCATGATTAAGGATCATGAATTGATCCCGAAACTAGTCGAGCTTTCTCGATCTAATTACACGTAAGTTAAACCGGTAGTTATTACATTAAAATACTTCCACATACAAACAAATTTCACCTTTTGTATAACATCAGTGTAGATAAGTGTATTACGTATTTATGTAATCATATCAACGGCGGCGTCTGTGTGTTCAAGAGTTAGATTATAGGATAACAACATAAGTGTCAATATAGCATTATACAAAGATATAAATATATCGTGTAAATACAGCTGGTCTTGGCAGCTGTTATACCTACATATATATAGAATCAATGCTATTTAATAGTTCATACCACGGAGCTCGTGCCCTTTGTTTTTTAACCGACTGCGAAAGAAAGGGTTTTTGATGTTTTACAGATGTAATAATGTATGTAAAAACCTGTTGCATAGTGTAGTTTTTTAGATTTGACCGATTTTAATTAATGGGGTATTGGTAATTTTATTTTTGTTAGTGGTTTAGCCTACTTGATGCGTTGATGACAGTATAAAATAAATATTGTGTGTTATAACACACAATATTTATTTTATACTGTATCTATAGATATCTATAGATAGATACCTTTTAAAATACATAGTTTATTTTCAACATAGCACACAAATAACAGTAGACATAGATAGACATAAAAAAATAGAAATATAGAGAAATACAAAGAAAGGAATGTAATCAAAATTATAAAAAGAAGTTGTCACTAATTTGCTAAGTTAACGGACGTGCTTTTTGTGATCTTACCATGTCATTGTATACAGGTTTTATGGAATATTTCATTATTTTGTATTAGGCGGCACTGGGTTTCATATGAAAATTTAAAGACACATTACTTATCTAATGCGAAAATGATAAAATCACCAAAACATTTTGTTGGAATAAAAAGTGTAGATTATTTTATATTTTATTATAAAAATAATTTATAATAGACCTTCTTTATTTTAGACTGATGTCTATCAGTCTGAATAATTCTCTAACCAGGGGTTTCAATAATTAAGGTTCATTCATAAACGGTATAAAAGTTGTTAACTGTTCATTGCCGAACATAGGCCTCCCCCATATGAGGAAGATTGTACCAGTAGTTGCTACGCTTGACAGGCGGGTTGGCAACCACAGTTATGATTTGGTAATAGTGATGTTTTAAGAGGGACGCTGTTGCCCATCCTTCGACCAGGTTCACGGTTAAATTATCTTTCATACTGATTACTTGAGTAATTTGATTAAACAGCAGCAAAAACGATAGACGGATGAATTGATTAATTTTGTTACATTTAAATGTCAGTTTTGTCGTTTCCTCTACATTCAATTTACTTCAATGTCATATAAATCTTTTATCTGTATGTAGCCCATTACAAGAATTAATGGAGTGGAAAATAGTGTGTAGTTTTATCATTCAGCAGTTTTACTTGTATTCCTATTAGTCAAACAATCAAATTGTCAATTGTTCCATTGCATTGAGTGCTTTTTTTTACTGATTTAACTAACGATTCGGTGGCTATAGGCTCTAGTGACGCTTGAAGTACCTATAAATTACAAACATGAGAACATTGCACTAAATACAAAATTAAAAAATTTACCCGACTTGTAAAAAAAAATTAAAAGCGTCTTTACAAAATTGCTTTTTTGTTTATGCAATTTTGTTTACTTCATCTTGATATTGATATTAAAATCGTACGATATCGTGCCGTGCTAAAATGAAATTTCTTTTTAATTATAGTTTGAGGACTTCGCTTTGGGGAACGCTGGTCGCCTCTTGAATAAGTATCGCAACAAGTACTGCACATTCAACGACGACATCCAAGGCACTGCCAGTGTGGCCGTCGCAGGACTGATGGCTGCCGTCAGGGTCACCAAGAGGAAGCTCAGTGAGAACATATATCTGTTCCTTGGCGCTGGATCTGTAAGTAATACGAGTATACTATTATGATATACATGTGATTTACATTTGCTGATCACTTATTGGTATAAAAACTATTCTATCTTTCAAGTGGCAGAATACTAAAACTTTGCTTTACTGGCTTTAAAATTGGTTGAGCGGTTTCGAAAATTAGTATGATTGAGCGTAGCTACACGGGATTTTTTACGTATTATGATAACAACAGGTTGAAATAGACATATTCAGCATCTTTTTTCTATATTTAAAATGAAATATTTTTCCAAAGCAACAGAATTATCTTAACATATATTAATTGGATAGTGGAACGCGCTGTGTTAATAGGAGAGGTTCAAGTTTTTTGTCTTGTTTTTTGGAAAGGAATGCTTAGCTTGTTTATTAGAACATTCCCTTAAAAATGTGCTAATGATTTTGATTGCATTCTACTCGTGTTTATTTATGGATGTATCAAAACAATATCTATTTATAATTATCGGATGACTAAAATACTGTATGGTCTATTAGCCATGGATGACTAATTTTGACTAAGTTAGGTTAGAATTTAATACGAGTAAATGATCAGCTTCAAATTGCTATAATCTATTTTAATTTGAAATATGGTATATTTCACGTTGCACTTAATTTATTGTCCAAATATCATAGATTTTTATAATAAGCTATATCAAATGTTTGATTTGTTTACTACATACCACTGTAATGCGCTTTCTTTAAGCCACTTGGCATCAATGGTTGATTTATCCTAGTCGCTTGCCAGTTGTTTACCCGTTATTTATATATTTATTTGTTATTTTTGTATGCTAATAAAATATGATCTTTTAATGGTCATCTGTTTTTATGCGCACTATTAGATTCAGCTGGTGCTTCGTTTATAGCCAAAGTATATACATACATACATACATATTTGTACATAAAGTCAATTAATCACATTATCTTCTAATATTTTTTTATATAAAAATAAAATAAAAATCTATTTTTTTATTTAATAAGGTTCACATACAACTTTTACATTTTACATGCAACTTAATAACACAAAAAATAATTTTGCCTAATGTAAAAGTCTTTTATAGGCGAACACCACATGCACTATTATAATATTTAATAAATCATTAACAATAACAATAAGATTATCTGAATAATAAGTAGATTAAGAATTTATGTCTAAGATTTTCCGCAATAAGCTATATCTGCTGTTGGTGGGTTATCTATTTACAAATTATTTTATATATGGAGAAGCCCTCATGTGTGTGGATTCATCTCGTACTTGACTGGTTTTATTCATACCAGAGTGATATTTTGTACAAAAGTTGTCTGCTTTTGTACAAAATGTTCTCTGTTCGATCACTAGCAGCTATGCTTGCACAGCTATATTTCTGTTTGAAAGATAGGATGTGACAGTAAATTCGCAGGGCATGGAGGCATAATATTTCTTTCTTTCTTTATTGTTTATTGTACACAAAAAATTATTGAAATGTAAAAACAAACATAATAGTGCACAAGGGCGAGCTTATCTCCAATAGAGATTTCTTCCAGCAAACCCAATATGAGAAAAGTGACAGTTCATTAGTAGTTACAGTCCTGAGGAATGCATATGGGATACCATGTGAGTCTGAGGGTATCTTTGATATTAATGTTTATAGGCGATGGTTACCACTTTTTAACAGCTAGGCGGTTAGATTGTTTGCTATTACAAGTTACATAAATATAAAACCAGCAGATAAAGTCCATTTCAACTAGTTAATATAATACCAAATTTAAATAAGAATTTGATAGTCATTTATTTTTCGATTTTAATACACGCCTTGATACGCAGAAACCGGATTTTATAATACTGGTTTTTATTTATATAATGGTTTTTTTAACGATGTATGTAACATGGTTAAATAAAAACGTGTGGAAGTACAAGTGTTCTCACTTGTAAATATGAATTTTAAATATCACCAAGCGCTAAAAATGAAAGCCATTAACGGAATGTTGAATTTGTTTTCCTCAGGCCTCCAACGGCATTGCCAATCTAACAGTCGCGGCTATGGTCGCCGAAGGTCTCTCCGTGAGGCAGGCTCGCGATCGCGTATACATGTTCGACGTAGACGGACTGCTGTCGACGCGTCGTGAGGGCGGTGTGCCTGAACACGCCCAGAATTTCGGCAAGGATATCGAGCCGGAGAAAGATTTTGAAAAGTGCGTCGCTAAAATAAAGCCGAGCTGTCTCATTGGTGAGTAGGGTTTATTGTAGTTTTAGAATTAAATAAAGAAGTATTTTCAAATTAGTGATACATACGATAACTTAAAAATATAATATATGCACCGCCATTTACTCTTACTGTACTAGAGAATGCCATTAGGCATTAAGTCCTCCCTATGGACATATTTTAATGCGTGCAAAAGTATAAATAAACAAACTAATCAAAAGGAATTAAATTTTAGTTTGTAAATAATGTTCTTGGTACTCGTAATAAGGTAGAAATTCCGAGATGAATACATACAATATAATGCATTTTATTAACAGAAATGTTGTATTTTTGGTAAAGATTATCTTTTTTTTATTAATAAAAATTAAAACATTCTACAAACCTATTTTAATAATTAGTGCTGAATAAATAAATAAATAAAAATGAAATTAAATGTATTTATTGGAACTATAAAAAATTACAAAAGTAGGGTAGTGTACGATAACAGCCACATTAGTTAAAAATAACTGTGTCGTGGCTGTCAACGCCTACCTTCTCAAGGCAGAGGTGCAGGCAGTCATGAAAAATGCAAACATTTTAATGGCTACAATAACTTTTTTAGATGTTTGATGTTTTTATAACTAAGGGTTATTTTATTACAACGAAGATGCTAAACACGCACACTGCCCGCTTGAATATAATGAGTTCCCGTTTGTAATACTAGAGGCAATACGCTTGTCACTTGAAGATCTTGAATCATAGTACTCGGTAATTTGCACTACAATTTTGTAGAGCAACCACAAATTTTTTTAATTGTATTTAAAATTTTGATTTTAGGTTGCTCCACCGTGGGTGGTGCTTTCACACCCAACGTATTGCGTCAAATGGCGCAGAATACAGAGCGACCGGTCATTTTTGCTCTCTCTAATCCGACAAGCAAAGCCGAGTGCACCGCTCAAGACGCGTACGACCATACGGAGGTTTGTTTAATTTTAAGCTGTACACATCTTATGGGAAGTGGTAATTGTTGCGAAAAACACTAATACGACGAGGTTGGTAGTGAGGTATATTTCGATTGATTTACAACTGACTTGCAACTGACTCGCATCTGATATGTAACTGACAGTTAATAATAAATAAATATTAACTTATATATTAAATACAAACAAATTAAATTAAATTAGAAATGGCGTACCGACACATTAACCCATTACGTGCAGTGTTAAATTGACAATTATTAAAACTTTTAATAAACAAAACTATTTTCTTACTGTACTGCACGTATAAACATACGAGTAGATATGACTCCATGGCAGTCAACAATATATATTACTTGATTATTTTAAAATTTTATTTCACAAAAATTTTACTTCGATGTAGTCCAACACGGAAGTTAATCTTTAGATTAAAAAGAAAAATCATAGAAATCTGTTAGTGATGTGTTACATTTTTATATAAGTACGATGTGCCATTTTTTTTATTCTATACATATATTTGTAGTATTGGATGCACATAGGGTCTACGTTGCATTGCATGTGCGTGCGACAGTTGATATTTTGGCATTTTTTTATTACAGAGTTAGTTTTATTGTGTGAGATTTATAGAGTTAAATCATTCTAATAATTATTATAATCAATACTTTCTCAGCATGTTTTGTTGACTCCATTAGTTATTATGTTAGTAATAATCTCTCATCGACATCATGCTATAGTGCGAAGAGTACAGAGATTATAGTTGTTAAATTGTAATTAAATTTATATTCATACTTCATTTCAGGGTCGTTGCGTATTCGCGTCTGGCTCACCGTTCCCACCAGTACAATACAACGGCAAGGAGTACCATACGGGGCAGGGCAATAATTCGTACATTTTCCCCGGAGTCGCACTTGGTGTCATTGCCACCGCTACCCACCACATACCGGAGACTATGTTCTTGACTGCCGCAAGAGTACGTAATATTTTTTAATAGATATGTTCACAGTTGTAATCTTTGATGGAATTCCCAGAGGCATTGGTCGACTGTTACCGTTGTGGTGAACGTAATATAATATCGAGTCACACATGTCTACATTTAGGAGGAGGGGGAGGGATTGTTAGTAATGTGGACCGCCAGTCTTATTGCTAGCAATATACCCGGGTAAATCGACCTCCACGTGGTCCCCCCTGAAAACCATCGTGCTGAATTCCAGGTGTATTTGACACGATGGGCTAACTGACTTGCTCTTTCATTTTTATTTGTCATCCCTCACTGGTGCCTCGCCAGCGTATATCGTTAGCGCAGGCAGGGTTACCATTCCATTATCATACATTAAACATGCCTACATTTTGTTCAGTACATTGGAATTTTGTGTGGCAGGGTGTGAGCTTTACCACTATTACTTACTATTCGGTATTTCCTATCAGTTGTAAATTTGCACACAATTTTTTACGATCTAGATTCTAAAAATTCTAAAAAGTATGTAAAGTACTTTATACTGCTGAATAAAAAGTAATTGTCTCAATATACAAAATCTATGTATGAATCCATTGTGTTTTACTATTTGCATTTATTATTTACTATTGAGCGTACAGATGTATATATATATTAAACCACTGCAATTATCTTTATTTTTTATGATATGTAATATAAGAAATGTGAAAGTTTGTAAAGATGTTAGAATATTTGTTATCTGGTCACGTTGTAATGGCTTAACAGATTATTATGAAATTTGGCACACAGATCTTATCCTATCTTTAACTCAATATACCTTTTATTTAATTCATGCACAGTTGTTTATAATAAGAAAATGTTCTTTCAGACATTAGCAAACTACGTAAGTGAAGAAGATCTGTCAATCGGCCGCATATATCCGTCGTTGGCCGAGGTGAAGGAAGTGTCGGTTTCTATTGCTATTGAAGTCGCTAAGATGGCATACGATGAAGGTGAGTGTATAGCAATTAAATAGAAAAATATTAACTATTAGTTTAGGTCAAATTCATTCTATCGGTCAATTGATTATTATGAATTTTTACAAAGGCTGTATATGTGTAATATAAATATATGAACCTGATCGGACCTCTAAGGCATTATTTGTTTTTTGATTTTACATACTTCGTTAAGATAGCAATTCCTGCACTAAGCTCAAGGCTTGTATCCCAGGAATCTTGTATCATTAAATGAATATCAATAATTTATTTACAAAGTTATATTAATGATCTACTCTATTTTTGTTTGACTACAATAATGTAAGCATCTGGAAAATGTCTTTTCAATTTTTACTGTACAATAATTTTTTTTTTTTGAGAGTTTGTAAAATAATAGTGAAACGTAAACTCCATTATTTCAAAGCCATGCCAAAGAGCCTGTAAGTATTTGTAATGCAGGATTGTCATTAGGTAGGATGTATCGTGGCATAGATATTAGTTTTCCGCACAATATGCATTTTTTTAGTCAAGGTTGTTATCGATTTATCGATCAAGATCGATCGTTTGAGCACCCTGCCTTAGACAAGCAGTTAATAGAATATAATTAGAGTCATTACAACTAACATTGAAGGTCACTAACATTTAAATATTTTTTTATTATATATTTTAATATACCACTAATGGAAGGGGGAATACAAAACTGTGCGGGTCGCGTGTTGCTTTCATTTTAAAATAATTTATTATAATAGAGTTCAGAAAGATTACCTATATAAGAAATATTGCTAAAGTAGCTATGTAATAAAATTTATATTAAGTTATGACGAAAAAATTAAATCTGGGTTTTGAGGAAAAAATGGATTTAAAACAAATACTACAGAGGAAACCTTAAAATATTTATACAAAAATAAAAAAAAAAAAATTCTAAAGAAGACAAATATTTTCTTTATAATAACTTTATCTATGATGCTTACGAAACGGTACAAATAGGTAACTATAAATATTTACTTTGATAATGTACTTCTGCTCATTAGTTTTACTCCTTACAACATTTTGTAATTTGTGTATTTAATTTTCCTATAATAAAACTAGATTCTATTGTAAACAAAAAGTACGTCTTAAATGTTTTAGTTGTTTACTTAATTATACTTATCAAAATCTTATGATGTCGATGTTGATACAGTATTTTATATATCGTATGACAGCACATTCATTATGTAAATTATGCAAAAATGACAATTATGTAATTTATATCATAATTTTTTTTTGTTGAAGGTTTCCTACTTAAAATAACCAAAAAATAACTAAATTCTAAAACTTGTCCGTTCATCTTACATTATACAGTTCCATCATTCCTTCAATTAAGCAGCTATGCGTATATTGTTTGTATAAATTTAGAAAGTAATAAAGTTAAATTTTACAGAAGCTTAAAACTTTTATCTTTACAATATTCTAGGACGTTCTTAATATTATTATTCACGTCTATAAGTGATGACTGTTAGCATTCCTCAATAAGCGGGTCGTTTGTTTTATAATAATAAAATATCTCGCTACATTTTTTTTAAAATGTGTTTCATTTTAAAAAAATAAAATAAAGTAAGAAAATAAAATGTATAATTTACTTTAACTACAATATAATTTAGTAATACAGATATATTTTAGTAGTATTTAAGAGACACTGACGATTATTTACAAATTGCCAGTAAAAGTTAATATATTCATTCATGTAAATAAATCATGTGCTATTGTTTTATTTTTATATTTTGTTATATTATATTTAGGGCTAAAACTACAGGTGACTGGCTAAAACTGGCTGTTTATCTATACTGATAGTTTGACGGATGTTGTATCTATGCACAGGCCTTTAATTTACTTTAGTAATATAGATTACTTACTAATAATAAAGTAGACAAGAATAGGTAGACGAAATCAAATTTAAAGATTTCAATAAAATCAAAATTTGTTTTATTGTGCGTGTACTTAAGAAGGACTTTGTTACAGGTTTGGCGTCTGTTTACCCCGAGCCAAAAGATCTCGCGAAACACGTCGAGAATCAAATGTATAACTATTTTTACGAGAGCGCTATGCCAGTGGTGTGGGATTGGAAACCAGAAGAGAAATTCAACGTAAAACCTATTCAACCAGTACCGAAGAACATCTAAACAGTATTATTATTTTATTATTTATTTTATTGTATAAGAGCAAAACACATCGCCTCACGTACTGTAAGAGTCAACTACAATGGACACATGACGCTTTTATGGGAGTGTTCAATATTATGTTAAATAATATTACAATATGAATTAAGGATTTAAGAATGCATCTGTATGTCACTTTATAGACGTATGTTATTTGGAAAGTAGGGCTTTGGTCCAGTTGCGTGACTCGTAACGCTGGCGTTAAACGACACATTTTCGTGATAACACGAAGAACTTGATATAGATTTATTGTACGAGGTTTGTCCGAAAGTACGTATAAAAGTTTTTTAAAAATTTTATTTTACAATTATTCAGGTAAATCAATTTTATCCCCTTCAAAGTACTCCCCCTGTGACATAATGCACTTGTGCCAACGCCGTTTCCACTGTGAGAAGGCTCCTTGAAAGTCCTCTGGTTGTAGGTTTCTCAGCTGCCCCGTCGTAGCTTTTTTTATCTCATTTATGTCCCCCAAATGCCGCCCCCGAAGTACCAAGTTGGTTTTTGGGAACAAGAAGAAGTCACACGGGGCCAAATCCGGCGAATAGGGGGGTGTTCGGTCACCGTAATGGAATTTTTACTCAAAAACCCACGGACAACAAGAGAGGTGTGGGCAGGGGCATTATCGTGGTGAAGAATCCAACGCCCCTCTCGCGCCAATTCTGGACGAACTCGTGCCACACGAGCTTTGAGGCGTCTGAGCACATCGACGTAGAATTTTCCATCAACTGTCTGGCCTGGAGGGACGAATTCTTGATGCTTTCTCGGCCCTCTCTGAATCTTTTTAGCCACTTGTGGACGGTTGGTTTGCATCATCCCCATAAACTGTTCTGAGATCGGCAAAAATTTCACGGCCATTCTTGCCGAGTTTCGAGAGAAACTTGATTACGACGCGCTGCTCTTCAACGGAAGCGGGCTCCATGCCGACGGGGTTTCGTTAAGAGGTAACTTCACAGATGGCGTGACAAGCCAGTTCGCACCGCACGGCGGTCAGACCAGAACTGAAGCATTGTTAGGGACATAAGGAAGGGGTCCTGCGCTTACCTGGCCTCCCCACTCCTCTTTCTCGCATTCCAGAACACTTTTATACGAACTTTCCGGACAGACCTCGTATTAGAATAATTAACAATTCTAATACCAAAGACAATTATTTTATTTAAAATATTTTATGTCTTTGGTTTCACGAGATTTCATGAATCTTTATAGAGTAACTGGATCTATTTGTATTTCACGTAGTATTTGTCTTAATGTATGTTTGTGTGCAAGGTAGTAAGTAGAAATGCGAATTGAATCTACATAATATAATCATGTTCAAAGTAATATACAATGTTCGTCGATGTATGTTTATCGTGGCCTTTGGAATGATTTAATTTCATGAAATGTATCTCATTGGAGTTGGGAATGTTTGGTACAAAATATAGCAATGAATTATTAGTTCTTTGTCAAAATAATAATAAAGACGAAAACTGACTTTTTATAATATAAATATATCATAGCTCATAATTTTTTTTGTGACTAACATCTGACACATTTGGAGATACTTATAACTTATTTTATTACAGTTTGTTTTAACGTTTTTTTCTAATCGCACTTTTGCTTGAATTAATATTATTTTTTATTATTTTTAAGATTTAAATGAATGTTACAAAACGAAACAGTATCTACTTACGATGTATTATTTTATGGAATGGCAAAAATTTTAATGATAATTTGATATTATACAATATAACTACAAATGGATTTTAAAGTAATACTCTAGTCACCGCGGTATTAAAACTATATTACGGATATCTATCATGCAGGTTTGTAATTATACAATTAATGTTAAGATAAAACACAATAACTTGGATGTAAATGATTGTAGAATAAAAATATAGCTCGGTTAGAAAATTATTCTAATTAAATGCATAAATTCGATGAGGTATAATTGTAGTGGCACAATTTTTTTTATTAATTTGTGATCATTTGCTCGAATCTTTAAGACATTATATATCTAAATAGCAGTTGTTATACGATTATCAAATGTCATTAGTGTTTACAAATTATTTCTACTGTCCTGTCTAAATTCGTATTATTTTTGTAAATCGTTAATTACGATAAAAAATTTTTATCAAAAATGACGTATTTTGCAAGCTCGTTTATTCTTCTAAATAAGCGAATAGTTTTGCCAAAATTGCGACTTGGGACAATTACATAAACTTAAGGCTTGAAAAAGTGTAGCAAAAACATACGTGATATGATCGCGTCAGTTTGCTGTCAAGTTTTTTTTTTTTAAATTAAAGTAGAAACATGCTAATCTTGGATTTTCAATATAATTGACATAGATATTTTACACATTTACGTATGTTTGTGTATAACGAATTAATGGAACTGTAATTTAATAAAAGTAGTATGGATTGTCTAATTAAATATTGTAAAAAAGTTTGACGTGTAGTAATCGTTAATTGATACTGCAGTATGCCTCAGATTAAGACATTAATTGCGGTTCAATAATTTGTGTTTATTATGCTGTGCTTGAATGGAGACAGGCTAAAGTAACGTAGAATCTAAATGTGCAAAGATTAAACAAAACAGCAATTGTTAACTATATTTTCAGTAATGAATACTAGGAAACACGTTTTTGTATTGTTCCATATTGTATAATTTACATAGCCTTTACATGAAAAAATGATATTAAATTTGACTACTTTATTTAAATAATTTTAAGAAAAATGTATTTTACATTTTAGTCATTAACTTGATCTAGATTACCCTATTGCAAATTATAGTATTATAATTTTTAAAGTGAGACACATTTCGCAAAGCGAAGAAAATTTTTGTTATTTATTTAATTTACAAATATTTTAATGATACATAGTGATTTTTAGCTGTGAAAATATACCTAATTATTTTTAAACTATGAGTTAATGTTATCAATCATTCAAAATATACATGTTTAATTAAGCCCAGTTTGATTCAATGTTCTATAGACATGTTTTGTTGTGAATGTTGTCAATTATCATGCAATATGTTTACCATGATTTTGACTTATGAGGGTCTATTTAATTTTACAGTTAGGTCAATTACCTCTGCTCCCATTGGCAACTGTAACGCAGCTTTTCGGCGTACCAAGTTGTATGTTTAGTTAGTTCAATTGTTACATAAATTATAGATGTTACTAATTAAACATGTTCGAAATATATTGTGGTTTTATTGATACAAGATCCTATGCATTCAACAAGATGATGTGATTTCTTGAATCTTTCTACCAATTCCCAATCTTTTTCTTTCCCTAAAAACCTTATACGGATAAAATATTACGAACTCGGTTCTCCATGAGGCGTTTTTCAATGAACAATATTCGAGTTTTATCCATATACTTAATATTACGTACTTTATATGAAAAACAATGTAACTACTTCTAGGCAATAATAAAAGGCTGGTTAATGATATAAACCAGCCCTAACTTTTTACAAAAAGGATAGATAACAGAAAAAAAAGATTTTCTATGTAGATGTCATGTAATTACAAGTTTTGAGAAAAGTTTTACGATGTTTTTACCTAAATCTTTACTGTAAGTATAATATATTATTTTCATGAACGCTTCTAACAAAATTGTTGAATTGAACATATTTAATTGTTAAATTATATAGAAATGTGAAAAAGATGAAATATAATTTTAGACTTAATTATGTGTTAGTGATCTTAAGGTCTTGAGTTTGCACTGGCTTGAAGAAAAATTTAATATTTTACAAAAATATTTTGAAACATGCTAATCTTTTTAGAAATACACGAACAACTCGCCGAGAATTACTGTATGTACTAAAAAAACCTAAAAAAATACTTGAACTAATAATGCAACAATGTCGGAATTTCCATGAAGTCACAGGAAACGTAATCGTCCCGAATATGGTGAGGGGAATTGACCACTTGAAAGATCCTCGGTTGAATAAGGTATATAAAATTTTTAGTTAATTTATGAAACGAATCTTGATTCGTAAGGTTATTATTATAGGTGCTGGGAAAAAAGGATTGTTTGTAACGGGGGCAGCTTCATTACTAGCAATATAACCTGTTAGGTTAATTTCCACACGGTTCTTCCTGGAAACCATCTTGGTTAATTCTTGTTTAATTTGTCACGTTGGCCTACTGATCTGTTTTTATCTTTACCTACTATCTCTCACCGGTGCTCTGCTACTCTATACCGATAGTGTAGGTGGACCATTTTATTATATTCACTAAAAAAATATTGCCACTTATTAGGCAGGTAATTTTATATTCATATCCCAAATCATTATCATTACTAAAAAATACTGTTACTTTATCTATTACGTAGGTAGGTAATTTTATATTCACAGTTATTTTAGCGAAGATCTAATAAAAGAAACTGGATATACAATTAATCGCGTGAATTTACTGGGTACAGAAGAATAACACGTGAGTCCTCAGGAATGGCAACGCATGGGGGGTACCATGGGCGAAACAGTATACTCTGTTATGTCCATGGTACTGCTCATGTCTATAGGCGACGATTACCACTTTCCATCAGGTGGGCCGTCAGCTTTTTTGTCATTCTAAGTTGTATAAAAAAAAAAGATATACAATTTTGTTAGGAAGCAAAAAAGATATACAATTTTGTTAGGAAGCATGAATTGTAATAACAATCCAGATGGAGTAACGACCTCAAGTGTAGGAATATACCGATGGATGCAATTGGGAATAGTATCTAGTTTGTAGTGCAATATGAGACGAGAAACCTAATTTCAACTGTGAACGACAGATGTGTTGTAAATATAATAAACTACATTTTTGTTATCTTTTTAACCAACTTTAATAAAAACAAGATCGTCATGTGTAGTTTCATTTGAGGATTTCTAAATACTTTGTTACAAGTTGTAGTTTTTTTTTAACCAAAAATAATTATTAATAATCTATATATAAATAACTTTTTCAAAATGTTTTATTCAGTATCTTATTTTTATTAGGTGGGTACATAAAATATAGCTCTTCGCTAACAAGCTGTTTAATTGTACTTTAAAGCTTTTCCCTGAAATTTATTGTTTGAACGTGGGCGTGGCTAACTCTAATGCTCGCCTAAAATAACCTGTGTGCTCTTAAAATTACAAGTTAAATGGAAAATGGTTGTTAGTTGGGTGTATATTATAAATATTTATTTTCACATATTTTTAGGGTCTCGCGTTCACGTTAGAAGAGCGCCAGGCTTTAGGTCTTCAAGGCTTATTGGCAACGAATTTCAAAACCCAAGAACAGCAGATTGATATAGCGAGAATATCTGTGGATAGATATAAAAGTGACTTGAATAAATATTTGTATCTTGTGGAATTGCAGGTATGGTGTCTAAAAAAATATAAAACAAGTTTTTTGGTCTTGGACCATTTTATGTCACAAAATTTTCGTTTTACCGCAATCATATTTAATATTATAGGTACATATTTATAATTATAAATCTCTTACATATCTGAATCCTAAAATTATAATACTCCTTTTTGGATAATTGTTGTTCTATATGACAGGGCAGGCAGAATTTTTATACTTATTAATTTAAATAAAATACATAGTAACTTCGGAGCGCCTATAGGTATTTTTTTAATTTTTACAGTGTTGCCATAGTTATCTAATTGTAATGTGTAACTAAACAATATAGGGAAGCCCTATATGCAACAATTGTAAACTTCATTTAAATATAACAATATATACAACCTTTAAAATGAATATATTTTGTTATACTATATTTTTCAGGATACAAATGAAAGGCTATTCTTTAGTTTACTGGATCAGAACATCGAGAAATATTTACCTATTGTATATACCCCAACGGTAGGTTTAGCGTGTCAGAGGTTTGGACTTATCTATAGAAGAGCAAGAGGTTTATTTATCAGTATTAACGACAAGGGATATGTGTATAATATAATTAGAAATTGGTGAGTAGAAGTCTGGTAGCAATCGAATAGCTTTTTTTTTTCAAAAAATCAACATTAATTTAAAAAAAACCTTACCTATAGATAAGGTTTTTTCACTGAAAACTTTTGAAAAATTCTAAAAATGCATATTTTTAGGTTTCATAATAAAATACACTATTTACTGCATTAACATGAAATTCCTTACACATTTAATACTCGTAATACTGATGAAATTATAATTATTTTAACGCATTGTTCTACTAATTAAAACTATTTTTTTTTTCAAAGAAACATAAGTCATTAATGGCCGAAAAATGTTGAGCTTTTAATTCTAACACGATACGTCTAAGTGTTAAGTTAATACTGAAAGCTCAAAATGTTTAGTCATTTTTTATTTATAACATTTCTGTTCTAATGTATTCCAAGTATAGGTAGATTTCATTTTTATATAAGGCCAACGACTTCCATTTCACCTTGTATAGTAGATGGGGTACAATATTAACAGGATGTTAATGTTATAGGCCAGAACACGATGTACGGGCGATAGTGTTTACAGACGGCGAGCGTATCTTGGGCCTGGGTGACCTGGGCGCTTACGGTATGGGCATACCGGTCGGCAAGCTGTCACTGTACACCGCTCTCGCCGGGATAAAACCGCATCAGTGTTTACCGATTTTGTTAGACGTTGGCACAGACAATGAGGTACGATTTTGTAGCGATAATTATATACTCGTATATATGTATAACATGGTTTATATATAGTTCATTATTTTAATAAAATTACTTCGGTATGTATATCTATGGACAATTATTTTAAATAATCAGTATGTAGGATCTCTGACAATCCCAATTATCGTAGAAATATAACTCTAAAAATGGTTCCAAGTATCTACTGTACGTCTACATACCAGACAACGTTGAGTAGTTTTGTCTGGAATGTAGAACGATATTGTCTATTCTAGTCCCTAGTTGTATTATGTCTGGTTATTTTTCGTCAGATAGGCTACCAACTTTTTACTTATACACAAAAATAATTAACGAACGACAAAAAATAGCATTTTTTTTTATACCACTGAGGTCGTAAATAAGCATACGGTCCACCTGATGGTATGCGGTTACCATAGCCTATGAACGCTTGCAATACCAGGAATGTTACGACCGCGTTGCTGACCCTGAAGCAACTTCTTTAACCCCCTTTTGAAGAGTAAGGCAAGTTGTAGTAAAATAGTTTATGACATGTTTATATGAATTAGTTACTGTTGAATATAGGATATATTATAATTTTAGTTCTAAATTAGTTACTTTTACAATCGATATCGTTAGCTGAATAATTTATCATATTGTAATTAGTGGTCACCCTCTGAATATTATTTTATGGTATTGAGCGCTATTTTTTTATTTTAGACTCTGTTAGAAGACCCTCTGTACATTGGTCTACGGCATAAAAGAGTTCGAGGCGAAAAGTACGACGAGTTTGTAGATGAATTTATGAAAGCATGTATCACAAGATTTGGACCGAATACGCTTCTACAAGTAACAATTGTATTACATTACATGTAGTATTTTGAATGACTTAACATTTCAACCACTACCGGTAAAACAAAAAAAAGTTAAAAAATTTCCTATTTGTTAACTCTCTCTAGCTGGTTATAAAATAATAAATTATATTACATAATCATAAATATCTCGACCCACTATTACCATCGCATCTGTCTATATAGAAGAGAATTGCATGCAGGCTTTTATTTTTTTACAAATTCTCACTATATTGATTCTCAGTTTATTGTATTCAATTCAGTGATCGATTAGACATATTTATTTTCATATGAGGTCCCTTACGGCATCTGTATTATTAAGTATGAGTAAATAGGTATTAGGATTTAAAATATTGTTCTTTTATTCTCAATATTATAATTATAATGCGAATAAAATATGACTAATTATATGTAAGTAGGTATATATTACATTGGCCTCTATATAGTATGTAATACGTAATGGTACTTCCTATAGGGTATAATGAATTGCCCTTAAAGAAATTTTAACAAAATTAATATTTCAATAGGCACCTACCTAAGTACTTACTTAATATTATTTCATCGTAATAACTTTCACGGCTATTAACATTTTCGACTAAAAAGGTTTTTCGAAGTTGAATTCTGAGAAGCACTTCTAAATGACTTTCGCTTCGCAGTTCTAGTTTGCTGTACGTCAATCTCCGACGCAGTGATAATGAATGATATTAAATGTTAGAATGCCTAAGCATGTAATTAACAGTAGGCTGGCATATAGAATTCGAAAATTCAATTAAATTCTATTAGAAATGTAAAAGATAAAACATATACTTATGTATTCTGTTTTCATTTTTTAAGTTCTCTAATCCCCGTTATTTACTCCAACATATCTCAGAGACGACGATTTAAAAATACAATGGGATTCTGAGGCGCTATTCTCTATTTCTCTCCTATTTAAGCCTATCTCTAAAATTAATATTTTAAGTTTACATTATAGAGAATGGACTATTTTATTAATCATAAATTTATAATAGTTTGTATTTAAATCTATTTAAAATATAGTTTACGAGTATAATAGTCCTTAGAACCAAGTTCTCTCTGTAATATCAAATCGAAATATTATATTAATTTTAGTAATGAGTTTAGACTAGACAATGATGACTCAGAATCGATCCCAATGTTCAAAAGTATTTGCCACAATGGAGATTATTATTTATTTTTTTATGCTCGAAGTATCGTAAGAGCCAACAAGAAGAATAAACTATCATAGATTATGAAATATACGTTATATTAAGTCTATGATACTTAGCTAGAGTAGTAAAATTTAATAATATTCCAAAATTTGTAGTGTAGGTAGTACAGTGGGATTGGCTTGTCTTTTAAAGACAAAAGCCCCTTAACTAAAGTACGTATGAAAAGTAGGTATAAAGCTGCCAGTATGGTACTCGTAATTATGGGCATTTCATTCCATTTTCAACTGTTAAAGAAATGTGTTGTATGATGATAGTGAAATTTTAAACGAATTTCAGATTTAAGAATTTTTGCATTATTTTAATGCAGTAATATTTTTTTTTTATAATCAGTTTGAAGATTTTGCTCTTCCGAACGCTGGACGATTTTTAAAGAAATATCAAGAAAAATATTGTACGTTTAATGATGATATCCAAGGCACAGCCAGTGTGGTAGTCGCTGGATTGATGGCAGCTACAAGAATTACCAAGAAAAAATTATCAGAGAATATATATTTATATCTCGGCGCTGGATCTGTAAGTATTTGTCTAATATCGCTATAACGATATATCCAATTCTATATCAGAAATTAAAAAATAATAATATAAAAAAGATCAAATCTCTAAACAGTTCTAGCAACAGAAACTATGAGTAGTAAGTTGCAAAAAAAACTTATCCTGTATGCTACACTTTACGGTAATTAGCCCAAGTTAAAAAACAATCAACTTTTAAACTATTGGAATAATTTACGTTGATGACCGAGAATTGCTAGTATTTTATAGGCGGCGAATGGAATTGCTAATTTAACAGTGCTAGCAATGATGGACGAAGGGTTATCAGAGAAAGATGCTCGAGACCGGATATTCATGTTTGATGTAGATGGACTCTTGTCTACGCGTCGTTCTCAAGGTGTTCCGAAGCATGCCGAGAACTTTGGCAAGGATATGGAACCGGAGACGGACTTTGAAAGATGTGTGGAGATTGTGAAGCCAACATGTTTAATAGGTAAATAGGCAATCGAGTTATATAGTAGAGATAATTTTAATGATTACTATTAGAGAAGATGTGAGATATGTTAATGAGGAAATCTAAGATGTGTTATTTAAAACCGTGCAATTAAGTTTAATTAAGTAATGAAGACGTAGGAAGGTGCTTGAGTGGCTCGTGTAAGCAAGCGTAGTATGGGGCATATTCCATTAGTAACGAGTATTGGATAGAGTCTATGGATGCAAGTGACGTGTGATCCTATGGGATGGGTAGACCTATATTCAGCAGTGGACCATAGAAGTGTTGTAATCTCAAATAAAAAAAGAAACGTTTAAATTTTTATTTAAAAATCAAACTAAATGGAAATAAAGAACGTTTATATAAACAGTAAAAAAAAAATTAAGGTAGAGCTGCGAAACGCGGAGGGTACATGCAAATGGATCAAAAACATTTTTGTGCCATAATTTATTCCTGTGGTAATAGGAACATTATATACTATACTGTATATAACAGTAATAGATTGTAGTATAGATAGGCTTAAATATAGATTTATATACTATTTCAAAATTGCAGGTTGTTCCACAATAGGTGGCGCTTTCACGCCCTCCATATTGAAGTTGATGGGTAAACACAATCAAAGACCGATCATCTTTGCGCTTTCGAACCCGACGAACAAAGCAGAGTGTACCGCACAAGCTGCTTATGACAATACAGAGGTAAGTTTGAATGTATATGATAGTTTTTAAGCTACTTCTAAATTCTCAATGTTACGTGATATTTTCATCAATTAGTTTTTAATTATTGGTGTTATTATTTTTGTTATTTACCTCATATCAAAGTTGAAACTTTTTGCGGCCTTATCCTTAGGGGACTTTTGCCAGTAGATCCCATGCTTCGTAGGTAGGTTGGCAATTGCAGTTAGTTAGCACTTTGGTGATGTTTAAAGAGAAACGCTGCTTCCATATACCTCGAAGTTAAGTTCTCTTAGTCGCATCTTATGATACGATAAAGGAGAGAATATTATAGTTATATTATATTTACATATTAAGGTATGATATGGACTCTAAAGATATATGTATTTACTTCTTGGAAGATAGAATTACTTAGAATACTATTTTATAAAATATGTATATATTTTATGTTCAAAAATATGAAATGAATTTCAAAACTATTTTAGTATTAATTATTTATTTACTTCTAGAAAGATTAATAGTCTAATATTATATATGAATAGATATACAACAAAATATTTTTATTTTTTTTATATATTAGTTATAATTTATATTCCATTTGTATCATTTACCAAATAACATAATAAGCGAATTGACTTAAAACACATCTTTGTAAGGGAACACAATTATGTATTAAGTGGTAGTAACAATTGTATGCTAAAACGTCTACTATAAAAGCTTTCTCACTTGCAAATTTGTGCAAGATATTTGCCGCGACCTGTACCTCTTTACCAAATTTTAGATTTCAATCTTTATTGGGCAAGCGATCCTATACCTATCTGATGTTAAACGATTAATCTGCGCTCTACGTATAGCCTTCGTAAGTTTTATACTTGTAGGCATTCGTTAAGGCTCTGCTAAGGTTTCGTCTCCGTTTATTTTGAGCGTTTGCGGGACGAAGTTACTCTAAAACTGCGCTCTAAAAGATTACGATATAAATAAAGTGTATTGATTAGGGACGCTGTGTTTTTTCATCCGGATCTCCATTTCCACCGGTGTCTTACGACGGAAAGGAGTATCATACAGGACAAGGAAATAACTCTTATATCTTTCCTGGAGTAGCGCTTGGAGTTATTGCAACATCAGCGCATCATATACCCGATTATATTTTTTTGACGGCTGCAAAGGTATGTTAATAATACTCAGTCATCATCATCATCTCAGCCATTATCTGTCCACTGCTGTCCTGAACGGTCCTGAGCCACTTGCATCTACTGACTCCCTGTATGTCTCTACAATAATTTTCTATAATTATTATGAATATTAAGCTTGTTTGTTTATAAGATTTTTTTTAGTAATATGATTTATTTTTAGACATTGGCGGAATTTGTTCATGAGAGTGACTTGAAAATTGGCCGCCTATATCCTCCTTTAAAACAAATAAAGGAAGTGTCGTTATCTATAGCTTCAGAAGTTGCTGAAATGGCCTATAAAAAAGGTGTGTATTAACTTGTGCTTCTGTTTGAAAATCAAATTGAAAATGTGTTATCAAATTCATTTTTCACTAACCAATGAATGAAAATAATGCAAGAATAAAGCCCGTTCCCTCCCGTTTCCATCAAAATAGAACACGAGTTACTACAAAACATACATATGTCCTCATATTTATATAAACAAATCTTGTATTTTACCTATTAATAAAGTATGCACAAAAGTTTCTGACAGTTTATGACCGCTATATACATGTTTTATTTTACCGGCATGTAGCCTAAAGCACTACAAATTAAAAGCGAATATAATGACGCCCTATTTTTCTGAATTGTAAGGCGTTTTGGTTATACCAGTACATTGCATTATAGTTACATACTGCTACAAAGATTTACTTGAAGAAGTTAGCTTTTTCTATTGGTACCCACTTGGTAATTGTTGGTTGAGGTTGTCTGGAAGAGATTGCTTAGCGATAAGGTCGCCTTTTGTATCACTTCTCATTAATATTTACTGTATTTGTTATTTCTCTTTTTACTTGGTGCAATAAAGTGTAAATAAATAAATAAATAATTGAGTAATTAAATTGAAAATCAATAAAATTGACTGATAGATTACCATCATTTCAGCCGATAACTGTCCACTGCTGAACATAAGCCTTCTCTACAGGGAGAGTTTTGCCAGTAATTGCTATGCTTAATAGGCGGATTGGCGATTTAAGAAGGACGTTGCTGTCTATCTCTCTACCATTAAGTTCTCTTAGTCGCCTCTTACGACATTTACAGGAAAGTAAGGGGTGGCCCATTCTATGCTGGAACCACACGGCCAATATAGACGGATAGATTACTATATATATTATATATATTTCTTTAACAATATCATATTAGAGTTGACGTGTGAAAAAAGCACACTCTTAGTTTTTAATGAGTGGTTTATACATTTTCTATTATAAACACTATTTCATACATTTATTTACAGATTTAGCGACTGTGTACCCTAAACCAAAAGACATGCAATTGTATTTAAAATCGCATCTATACCAATTGAAGTATCCAGATTATCTGCCAAAGTTTTACAAATATCCAGATATGCCTAATATAAAAGTAAAATCATTCGATGAAGCCTACAGCGGAATTATGTTGGTATTTATTATTTTTTATTATTTATTTAGATTAAATTAATCAGCGTCCCTATTAAAATACCTCCAAAGCTTAATTGCGGTTGCCAATCCGCCTGTCAAGCGTGGCAACTACTGGCAAAACCCTCCAAGGGGGAGGCTTATGTTCAGCAGTGGACAGTTAGAGGCTGCTATGATGAATCAGCAATATTATCGCTTGTCACTGTACATTGCTAAATTATATCTTATACGTATGTAACGCGCATTATTTTATGGAATGAAAATATAATGATAACCCTACCTGCGCTACGGTATATACTGGCTGGGCACGAGCGAGGTATAATAGATGAGGATAAAAGCAGGTCAGCTGGCCCATCGTAATAAATTTATCAAGAATTAACCACATTGGTTTTCAGAGTACACCATGTGGAGGTCGACCTAACAGGATAAGTGAAAGCAATGAGACCCTTAATCTCCATTACTAATAATCCCTTACCCACTAAATCGCATTTATAGTTGTTTTCCCATCTAACAGTTATTCGTACTTCGTTCTATAAGATCGGCTCGTTGCCAATTCAGCTTTCCAATCTTTCTAACAAAATCAACCATTTTTATGAATTTTAACACTAACTGTAAGCCATGGTTTCACCCACGTAAATTAGGATAAAAGTTTTTTATGTGTTAAACTCCATATGTACATATGTTACATAATTCGTTTTACTTTTTAAGCATTATTTAGGAAAAACATGCATAAATTAACATGCAAAAAACGTTGGCTAAATATTGTAAGTTGTATATAAAAAATATCGAATAATACTATCTATCTTGTGACGATGTTGCCATCTCTGATTTCATGTTGCCATCCCAGATTTTGTACTATTTTTATCTTTGAAATCAAAAGAACTGTGCTCTCATCACTGCTGTATTGCAGAAATAAGGTATAATGCGGTTGATGCTAAGACGAATAAGGCGTTGAATAAACCTGCAATACAATTGTGCAGTGTTATATTACAATTTTATTATATACATAAAATTTTATGTAATTACCAAGTGGTAAATTTTATTGTACAATATATATTGCAAAATAAAATTATTTGTCTGCGAGCTGCTTTACATAAAACCACTGCGTACCGTTTATGTTTATTGCACAATATGGAAATGAACGTTTATTTGCTCCTTTTAAAATTATAGAGATATTTCAATATTGCATTATTTTCTAGTGTTTTCACGCAATTTTTCTCACCATTATTCGGATTAAAAGTTCGAATAATGGCGGCAAGTTTTCTGTCTCATTTGTTATTTTTCAGGACGAGTACGGACATACACCGTCCCTTGGGGAAACACAAGTGATGGATGACTTTGTAATATAAGATAAATTAGAAATATTGTGACTGGGCATGGTAATGTTTGTTTTATAGTTACTATGTTATATATTAAACATTGTTTAATTCAAATAACACTTATACGAACCTATTTTCATGGATAAAAAAATATAATTTATGAAAATATGTTCATATAAGTGTATCATAATGATGACAAACAAGCATACGCTCATTAGATGGCAATACTTGCATACTTTTTTAAAAAAAATAATGTGTACTCCAATTGATGACAATGGATATTTATGGGGAAGGCCTATGTTCAGTAGTGGACAGTTAACGGCTGATATGATTATGATGATTTCATGCATAAGAAAATAATACATTTTGCAATACATTTAATTTAAATTATTTGTTGCAGGATAAAAACCGTCACAAACTTGCATATATTATAACTCCTGTGATTTTCTTAACATTATGAATTATTTGTAATTTTTACTTTTTAATTTTATGAAGTAAATTTAATCTATCTTAATAACATCTTTTTACTTCATTACCTACAGCTTAAATTCGCTCAAGGCATTTTACGAGCTCATAAACCTCTCTGAGTATATTTAAAAAATTGCTTTCAGGGTATTAGTTCGTTGATGACTCTTTGATTCGTTATGAACTAGTATTCTAATAACTTAGATATTCTAGAACTCATAATAAAATATTATTTTGAACAACCACGAAGTTATCGCCTACTTAATCCTACTTAATTTCTTCGTGAAATTGATGATCATGATTAATAAATAGACTAAAAAGTATCTTTCGAGATAATTTTTTTTTATTTTCTTCAGAAAATAAACAGTATTTTTTAATCTAGACAGATAAATCTATAAACTTTATACATATTTTTGTATTTTATTTTTACTTTTATTTTATGCGCAACAAACAGTTGCTTATGAGTGAATTATAGAAATATTTGTAATTTATTTACACTTTAATTATATTTTTCATTTTATTCAGACTTCGTAAAAGAGTTTTTTTTTAATTCAGCTCTATTTTTGTATGTAGGTATGTTATGCAATAATTTTGATTGATTCCATCCTAAAATTATTATCACTAAACAATAATTTGGTCAATATTAAAGTCACTGGGAAGTCTTATACATTAGATTGAAACATGCCTTTTGTATTAAAGACCAAAAATTACAAGGTTGCTAACCAACGGACGATGGTTTTAGTGTTCATAACAGTTGGTAGTTAGTGTGGTCAAGTGTGGGTGTGCTGGCACAATATCCGTGTAGCCACGTGACGCGACAGCTGTTTGCGACGATTACACTGGACCGGTGCCACAGACACTGCCGACACTAAGTACAATCATCGTCAACAATATTAATACACAAAATTAATACAAGAGACTAAACGGTAGTCTCTAATAGAGACAAGAATATTGGATTACATGTATTACTTTTTTTTGTAATGTTTTGTGCAGAGAAATGAAAAATATTGATTTTCAAAAGATATAAGATGAACTATAAGTGATAGTACTTTAAATACTGTTATTTAAATACTTATACTGCGATGATAGTTTAATTTATTTATATATTTGTGTTATTTTTTTATGTAGCTTAGAATAGCAAACAAGCTGGCGGTCTACCTAATGGAATGCAGTAACCGTCGCCTATAGACATGAACAGTACCATGGACATAACAGAGTAAACTGTGTCGCTCATGATACCCATCATGCGTTGCCATTCTTGAGAACTAAGGTGTTATGCATCTATACCATGTAATTTCATGAAACACAGCTATGCAGTCACAATTGCTTTATGGCAGAAACACGAATGGGACAGTGGTACCTAAGTAGACGACTTTTGTACAGTCTTCTTCTGGTGTAGCGGTAAGGAATTCATCATCTATATCAGAGAGTTTACACTTAACTAAAATAAACTAGAATATATAAACTATAATTTATATATTTAATTTTATTATACGTGTTGTTTACAAATATTTTAAATTTCGACATTTCGAGGTGGATTCAATAAAGAAGCAGGTACGTAGGTAATATTTACCTGCAAAAGCCTAATAGTTTTGCATTGCGTTAAGTCCTGATTGTGTATTAAAAATAATTATTATAATTTTGTTACTCTGCATGTGTCTCTGTTAATACTCGCGAGATTCTTAGGTTTAGAATTTTGAACCTATTATTTATTGGAAGATTCTTTCACTTATATTTGAGCCACGACATTATCGGTATAAATTGTAATTGTGACTGTGACGTTATCCTCAAATCTCACAGAATGTTTTTCAAATAGATTGCCTCTTTTGCATATCAATCTCATAATTTTTATACTTTCAAATTAAGCTCTATTGGTGTGGAAATAGAATTGACCTCTTCATATTAAAATTATGTCAAAATTTCTTCGAGAAATTTTTGTTATGAGATTTTTATGTAGACGCACCTGGTACTGTCCATAATGTAGACTGACCAATCTCTTCCTAAGTAAAATGTTAAATAGAACTTATTTTTGGCTTAAATAAATTATAATTCAATTACAATTAACTAATATTATAACTGTCAAAGTGAGTTGTTTTTTTGTTGCCTTTTGATGTTTTTTTACAACTATAGTCACCAGAGGGAGACTTTGTACAAAAGTCGATTGCTTGGGTACCTTTGTCCCATTCGTGTTTCCACCGTAAAGCAGTTGTGTTTTCATGGCTGTGTTTCGGTTTGAAGAGTGGGATCAGGTGTGAATTTACTGGGTACAGAGGAATTACACCTGAGTACGTAGGAGCAGGTACCTACGTACCTGCTTCTTTATTGAATCCACCTCGAAATGTCGAAATTTAAAATATTTGTAAACAACACGTATAATAAAATTAAATATATAAATTATAGTTTATATATTCTAGTTTATTTTAGTTAAGTGTAAACTCTCTGATATAGATGATGAATTCCTTACCACTACACCAGAAGAAGACTGTACAAAAGTCATCTACTTAGGTACCACTGTCCCATTCGTGTTTGTACCATGAAGCAATTGTGTTTGAATAGCTGTGTCTCATGAAATTACATGGTATAGATGCATAACACCTTAGTTCTCAGGAATGGCAACGCATGGGGGGTATTATGGGCGAAACAGTATACTCTGTTATGTCCATGGTACTGCTCATGTCTATAGGCGACGGTTACCACTTTACATCAGGTAAGCCGTCAGCTTGTTTGCCATTCTAAGTTGTATAAAAAAAAATCTTAAATTTAAAATTCACATACTGTTTGTATACAGGATAAAACTAGTATTTAATAATTTCTTGTCTGTTTCTGCATTGAAACTGAAAACATTATTGAATTGAATAATTTGAACTGCAGAAATTGTTAACTTTCTATTATTTATAATTAATTTAAAAGCAATATTTTGTTATTATTGATGTACTTGATTACCCTAATGTACAGCTCTCGCTTACGTTAGTTGACAACTTTTTGTTTGTGATTCTTACCGGAATTGTTCCGTTATTGGAAATTTTGGGAATGTTACTTAGCAAATTTATTTTGGTTTTTACTTATCATACATATTAGCATCTATTGAATATATGATGAAATTATCAAAAAGAAATACTTTATATTTTTTATGATAGTTATAATGACATACTAGCTAATGACCCACCTGATGGAATGTAGCACTTTTACTTAGACATGAATTGCACCACTGTACATCCCAAAATATACTCGTACTATGATGCCCATGCTACTCCTTTATGCGTTGCCATTCTTGAGGACTAAGATTTTATGCCCGTTCTTTAATTTTACTGTCATATCCCACTTTAGACTGAAACATAAGAAGCTACGCAAGCACAGCGGCTTCTCGGCAGAAACATGGATAGAACAAAGGTCTTCATGCAGACGACTGTACGAGTTGCCTATAGATAGGACAATGAATTGTAATGTCCATGGCGTCACAAATTACACTATGATGCCTATGGTACCCCATATGTGTTGCTATTTTTTAGGACTAATAGGGGGGGAAGGGATTGTTATTAATGGAGCCTAGACCTCCACGCTGTTCCCTCTAGAAACCATCGTGGTTAATTCTAGTGGAATTCATTACGATGGGCTAATTGACCTGCTTTTATCGTCGCTAGTATATCCACCCATTAAAGTCACCCATTAAATAAAAACTCTTAAGAAGTAAGGTCTAGGCTTTACCTACAAATGAATGTAGCTTGACATTAGTTGTGCCTTTAATTTTCTAAGAGAAAGTATAAAATATATATTTTTATATCTGCTATTATTGCTCAGGTTTTAACGCAGCAATTTTTCATTCAAAAGCAGTGAAAAATTACCCATTAGTGGTTTATAATATTAAAATAATATTTTCTGTGTGCGAGCTTACGATCATTAATTATACATGTTGTTCTACTTTTATGTTTCTAAATTATTTGTTTATAGGTTCAGAAATGAAAGTACATTAGAGTGCTTATTATTGCATACGTATTCTCTTTACATTACATCTATTACCTGTTGTGATAGGTAGAATAAATAGAGAGTAAAATGCTCAGGTCCAAGAGCTATATAGTGCTTTATTAATCAGTATATCGGAATTCGTAGATACCTGTGTACTGTTTGGGTTCAGCATATTTTTTATAGGAATCCTTTCATCCTCAAAGGCCAGTAATGATTAATGAGTACACTAGTGACTGGAAAGTTCCCCGTGGTGCGCTTTATTTACTAAATTACCCATCTCACGCTACACTGATTTCTCAATGGGTTGTGCCCTTTCTTTATGGAAGTATAGTAGCTTACTTATTTATTGCGATGCTATGAGATTTATCGTTGGGCTGTTAACTGGCAAAATGTTCTTTTTTTTTATTCTTACATGGTGACAAAAAACTTGACAACACGTCTAATGGAAGAATTTTGAAATTTGAGAAGTCTAATGAGATGAATTTTGGAAAATAGATTGGTTCAGATATAAATAAAATTAAAAGTATCACAGAGTATACTATGCTATTTACATCTTTCGGGGACTAAGATATAAAATACAAGATGTATTATCTTGTATTTTACACTAAAACGTAGTGACACGTACTGTTGCTGTTTAGCAGAAATAGGAAAAAATATATCATGACTTCAATAATGAAGGCTGTGTTTCATTCAATTGGACAAATTGTGACAAAACTAATTATTTTAATTTAAAAACTAAGTTATTGAACCGATTTTCCCAAAATTTCTATGGGACCAATCTGTAAGTATATCATTTCAGATATAAAACTATTTTACATACAACCGAATAAGCTACTATCTTTCTTCTTGATGTCGGTTGAAAAAGGAATAAGCATATGTTGGTGTCAATTAGCATAAAAAGTATTCTTTGTATTAAACAAGCTGATGTCTATCTGTATATATCAGCCATATAATCGTGATTTAGTAACAAACTTCTAACTATAAAAACATTCAAACATACTTATAAATAATATTAGTAGG